TTAATTCATTAATGTGACGATTAATTTGGTAAAATGTTTGTCGATCACGATTATTAAGGTTATAATTATCGATTTTTATTTATATACAAAAAAAATTTAAAATATCTATTTTTGTATCGATTAAGTTAGCGATCACATCGTTGCCTGTAACAAAACGATTCAATGTACGTTTTTAATTCATTTTTAAATCGACTAATTACAAAATTGTTTTAGGAATGGCAGTGTCAATTTTCAGTTCGAATTGAGAGTCTAATGAATTGTCATGGACACAAGTTAGTTATCGATAATTCACACGAATCGCACGGGACATTTTAGATTGTAAATTTTTAAGCACAAGGTATTCACTATAAAGCGCACTCTAGCGGAACTTTTGGACACACAAAGTTATTGACTAATAACACACCCGCCACGATGTTAGGTAGCAGCTCCTCTCTATTTTAAGCGGAAGAAGTGTTCTCGCTTAATCGACACAATAGTGAAGTGCCACGTACGTAAGTATCGATATACTGTGTACGGAACAGCCTGGCCACGGGACATTCGCCGATACGAATATTCGCGCGGTGCGAACGGCGAAGCGTCTAGCGACTAAAATAAGAGCATAGAAATGTACCTAACAAGCCACGCGCACCGGCGACCGACGAAGCGACCGGCGGAATGTACCGAGCGAATCGCGCGATGCGGCGGGCGAGCAAAACAAATGCATGAATACGGACGGCGCGAGCCACGGAGTCGAGCGGTAGTCGCGGCGAATAGTGCAGTGATTAAATGAGTTTTCGCCGCGAAAAATTAACGCCGAAATTTTTATATTTTTTATTTATTTTTTATTTTATATTTTTAAAGTCGTCGTGGCCTAACTAACGGACGTCCGGTGCAATCGTGTTGAGCGATGCACCGGTGTTCGAATATCAGGCGGGTACCAATTTTTGTAATGAAATACGTACTCAACAAATGTTCATGATTGACTTCCACGGTGAAGGAATAACATCGCGTAATAAAAATGAAATCCTCAAAATTATAATTTGCGTAATTACTGGTGGTAGGACCTCTTGTGAGTCCACACGGGTGGGTACTACCACCCTGCCTATTTCTGCCGCGAAGTAGTAATGCGTTTCGGTTTGAAGGGTGAGGCAGCCATTATAACTATACTTGAGACCTTAGAACTTATATCTCAAGGTGGGTGGCGCATTTACGTTGTGGATGTCTATGGGCTCCAGTAACCACTTAACACAAGGTGAGCTGTGAGCTCGTCCACCCATCTAAGCAATAAAAAAAAAATAGCTGAAATACTAGCTAGACCAGCTATTTGGAAGTCTAGCCAGCCAAAGTATTTCTCGTACTTCTTGTGGAATTCTCCATCTATAGGTATACTCCGATTCTTATTCAAATCATGTACTTCACAATCTTTTCCAAATAATAGGTCCTGAACCAAAAAACTATTAATTTGTAAGCAATATCGAGATAATTTCGATATAGACATTTCGCTGTCGGACTTCCTTACTAGTCGCGGCGGCGAACGTNAAATAATAGGTCCTGAACCAAAAAACTATTAATTTGTAAGCAATATCGAGATAATTTCGATATAGACATTTCGCTGTCGGACTTCCTTACTAGTCGCGGCGGCGAACGTGAGTACCCGTGGCCTGCAAACGGTGCTGCGCGAATGGTCGCCTCGCCCACCGCTTCGCTGTTCGCACCGCCGATCCCCGTGGCCAGGCCGTAAGTATCGATATAATGTAACCCTCTTATAACACGGTTGATTGGTGCCGCGTTATACAAAACGCATTGTAGAATTCTCGCATAACGCGCTTGTTGACCCCTATATAACGCGTTATGTACAAATATAAAATATATACAAATATAACACATATACATTTGTATATATTTTATATAATACATATATAAAATATATACAAATATAGCACATTAATACCAAAATTTTTTACAAATCAAAAAACAAGAAACACGAGTGTAATAAATTAATTTAATTTCATTTTATAACAACACAGTTGACACAATGTGCAAAGATACGCGAAATTAAACTGTGAAATGTACTACAAATCATTATAAATTTCAAAGTATGTACAGAAATATAACGTATGAAATCACCGCGTTATACGGCGTAATACCCGTGTTATAAGAGAATGCAACCGCGTAATATGAAAACGCGTTATAAGATTACCGTGTTATAAGGCAGATTAACTGTAATCAATAGTGAAGCTACACCGTGCACTGAAGGAACAGTTCCAATTACAAATAATCCAGGACTAAGGACCTGACTACATCACGGCGTCATCCGCAGTAACGATCTAAGTCTGACCTGGTGGAATCGCCCTTCCACAATTCATCTGAATAGAGATTAATGGATCCTGAAAAGTCCGCATGCGACTTGTCAATATCAATTTAGATAATTTAAGTAATGAGGATGTTTATTGATGACTCGTGCGACTCGAGTGAAATAAATAGCGTACAATAAGGCAGGTCGCACACCGGACACGACTTTGTATTGAGCCGAGATTTAAAAAAAAACAATATAATTTTTCTTCGTCGAACCATAATTCATCGCAAATCGATTATATGGTTTTTTTGTCTCGTTAATTACACACATATGGGGGAGAGTGACGTCGGTGGCGCCGGTGTGCCTTCAGCCTTACAGCGTCGCGGTGGAGATCTGGGCCAGCGACTGACTTACTGCTCAGTCTTTGTACATACATTACATATATATATATATCGCAACGAAACACGTCGTCGTGCGACCGGACCTTAAACAACACGAACCGACCCTTAAATAAACGTTACATTAATTACGCATTACTTAACAAATATCATATTTACTTTGTTGTTGTTGTTGTTGTAATAAGTCTTTAATTACTATATTTTGTATTATAGCATCGATATTATCATATTTTTATTATTCTTATTATTATCTACATTATAAAAAACACACATGTGAAACATTGTTTGTTTTTTTTTTTGTTTTTTTTTTTAAATACTAATTGACCTAAAAGCCACATCCGATTCATACTTGAAACTGAGTTTACATTCTTTGATTCACGGCCGATAGCTCCAAGACTTTTTAGCCTAATTTATAAGAAACATGACAAAACACATACATCATATATTTATTACAAAATTAATGTCAGCAAATCGGAAGCATTCCATTGAGTAAACTTAACTGAAAGATCTTCGTACATGTGAGCGTTCGTGAACACTTCAATCACACACGCTTGGTAGATAATGTAATTTGTGAATACTGCAAGAGACTAATATATATTTTTTATTGCTTAGATGGGTGGACGAGCTCACAGCCCACCTGGTGTTAAGTGGTTACTGGAGCCCATAGACATCTACAACGCAAATACGCCACCCAACTTGAGATATGAGTTCTAAGGTCTCAGTATAGTTACAACGGCTGCCCCACCCTTCAAACCGAAACGCATTACTGCTTTACGGCAGAAATAGGCAGGGTGGTGGTACCTACCCGTGCGGACTCACAAGAGTTTATACCACTAGTAAATATAGAGAGATATAGTTTAATTTTTTTATCAAATTGAGATTCATTCTTCAAGATCCACCACACAAAGACGGGTACGGTCAGAAGAACAAGTCAGAATAAAAACTTTGGTGTAGTACAGAGGTCGACCGGGATCGCGCCTCCCTGCTATTTACATTCTGCCACTAAGCAACATCGACTAACACGAATCAGTAAAATAAAAAAAAAACTCCACGCATGTGTTCAAATAATGTAAACTCAGTTTCCGAATTAAACATTATTTATACCTCCTAACCTACTATTGTTTTATTGGAAGGTTTTTTTGTACATTATAGATAATATTTTTTTAAATAAATAAATTATACAGCAAACATGCTTGTTTTTTTTTAAATCATATATTATATGTAGGAACCAAACATTTGTAATGTATAAATTTTTTTCAAATGTATCTATCATACGTCACAAGTACGGTCTGCAGAATAATAATGTTTTTAATATCAATCGATATACTTAGTAAGGTTGGCAAAACAAAATCAAAAATTTTCTACACACCTTCTTATTGTATCATAATGTATACTGTGCCGATAAATACTTTCAAGAGATTGAACCAAGTATCAAGATCTATTCAATGGTAGAGTCAAACATACACTCGCTTTTTTATATATGTCGACAGATGTAAGACTATTTGGTTTAAGGGACATTTTTGCAATTTTACCAGAGAGCCATTTAAAGTTTGAAAATTTGGAAAAAATAATTATAACAAAAAAACTTCAGCAATTTCTTAGTAAGCTTAATTGAAGCTCAATTAAAAACATCGAACTGTTGATGCTAATACCAAATAAAAAGCATATTTAATTACAAAGATAAATGTCGCGTATTAAATAAAATGTCGCTTGAACCAAAATATCATTTCACCCTTCGATATATTATTGTATTGTTGATGAATTTATATTGTTAATCGAATTTTATTTATTTAAAAAAAAGAAAATATTTGAGAAACAACAAAAAAAAAAAGCCCGCTGAGTTTGTTTCGCCGGTTCTTCTCAGGACTGTGGCTTTTTTTGAAACCGGTGGTAGAGTTAACATTGTTATTTGTATTTTGACATTCAACAAGTGTGTCATACTGACATCTAAGTTGAAGTAAATGATTTTGAATTTGAATTGAATTGAATTTAATTGGAGCTTAATAAACATAAAAAAAAATCAAAATCATCTAAGGTTCTTTAAGCGACTTTTGTTCGCAAAAATTAAATTTATTATATTGGGCTATATATATATATTCAGTAAGGAACTAACAAAAATAATAATTATAGTTCGAACAAAAATACAACCGACTTCAACAAACTCAAAAGCGAACATAGTCAATGTATTCAATTAAAAATGCATTATTAAGTATAATAACTCAGAAATCACTGATCAGATCTTGATACAATTAAAAATAAAAAATAAATAAAAAGCATAATTTCAAAATCATTTCACATAGAAAAAAAGTCTTAATGTGACAACATATTTAAAAAACATTCGAATTGAGAATCTCCTTTTTTTTGAAGTCGGTAAGTCTATTATTAAAGTTACTGGAGGCGGTTTTTAACATTATGAGATTCGGTGATTTTTGAGAGACCCTTGTAGCGTCCTCCTCTGCTGAGTATCCAAACGTCTCAAGTCCATTCCCGCCTGTAGCCTCTCGCACGACAACATAAGAGCTATTTTAGCGCGACCTCAACAAAAGCAAGCGTAGAGACTGGACATGTCAATGTTCCAAGCGGTCAGTTGGCTTCTGGAATATACAAAAAAAACCTTTTTTTATTGCCTGCCCACCACAGCCCACCTGGTGTAAGTGGTTACTGGAGCCCATGGACATCTACAACGTAAATGCGCCACCCACCTTGAGATATAAGTTCTAAGGTCTCAGTATAGTTAAAACAGGTTCAAACCGAAACGCATTACTGCTTCACGGCAGAAATAGGCAGGGCGGTGGTACCTACCCGCGCGGACTCACAATAGGTCCTACCATGGTGGGGCAGCCGTTGTAACTATACTTGAGACCTTAGAACTTATATCTCAAGGTGGGTGGCGCATTTACGTTGTAGATGTCTATAGGCTCCAGTAACCACTTAACACCAGGTGGGCTGTGATCTCGTCTACCCATCTAGGCAATAAAAAATAAAAAAATAAAACACACGTAAGTACCTGCCTTTAAAACTTAATTTCTAGACTTACAGTCGGCCATTTTAGAATATTTTCATTTTATGTAGGTACGTACTACTGGCGTACTACCAGTAAGTGACAGTTACTTCAGAGCGCCGCGTAGGGCACCAGTGACCTACACTACAAAGAGTTAGGGTCTAATTTCGTTCGAGCCTCACCATCAGGGGTCCGCGGGGTGGGGGGGCGAGGCGCCGCAGCTGCTGTCCCCCGACGGGGCGCCCTCCCCCAGCTCCGCCCCCACCTGTAATACCCCCTCACAGCATTACACGGGAACACTCTCTAGATGCCACCCAGAGGTGACGCAGACTACTAGCCGGGTATGATAAATATCTCTATATATATATAAATACGTGAAGCAAAATTTTTGTACAGTATGAAATTTTCCACACTTATAGAGAATATTGAGAAGAAGGGCAGAATGTTAATTTTTTTTTTAATTATGGATAAAAAATAAATTAAATCAATGAAAAAAAAACATTACACACACTACCATGTATTTGACACAACACACACATATATACTCTTTGTTTATTGTCCATTGTCAAACTTTTGTTGTGGGTTAAAATCTGTTGTGGGTCAAATTGAGAATTAAGTTAATAATGTTTGTCTTTAATATTATTTGTCTATAGTGTAGTCTTGGCGAAATCTGTGATTAGAAGTATAATAGTCTTTGACAATAGAACCATAATAATGTTCAAACTTATAATTTTAATTAATTACTAGCGACCCGCCCTCGCTTCGCTTCGGAAACATTAAAACACACATAAAAACAAAAAACAAAAAAAAAAAAAAAAGTAACCTATGTTCATCAGGGACAATGTCGGCTTCTAATGGAAAAAGAATTTTTCAAATCGGTCCAGTAGTTTCGGAGCCTATTCGAAACAAACAAACAAACAAATCTTTCCTCTTTATAATATTAGTATAGATAGACGAATTTCGACTGAAGGACCACTAGTTATATTTAATCAAATATATTATTATAATTTTATAACTACAATAAATAAAATTGTAAATGTGAAAGTTTGTCTATTATGGGAGTCCAAAAACAAATTTGTACATGGTTTCTGGAGGAAACTCCCAAGAGAATTTACGTGGGAGCGTGAACCGTCGATAGATCGACTCTCTATTAATGCGTATAAAGTGCGGAACATCGGAATACCGACTATTGTGCAATTTGATTGTAGATATCGACCTGTACGGAGGTGTCTTTGGGCACCCAAACGTATAACGTTTTTAATCAGTTAAACAATAACCATTTAAAATTATTTTGGTGTGAATTTAGCCTTGATTTTTGTATTTTTTTTTAAGTATTAGTAGCTATGATCCTTATGTGATCCCCAAGTAGTACCTTGAGCACGTCATGCAGAGAGCTCATGCTGCCCAGACTCAGCGGCGTTATGGACCTCTCCAGGAGGAGTGAGCCACTCCCCTGCGAACCTCCCCCTATGGACCTGAGAACATAATATTGTTGTTTAATTAAACATTATGACAGTTACTGGTGGTAGGACCTCTTGTGAGTTCGCACAAGTAGGTATCACCGCCCCGCTTATTTCTGTCGTGAAGCAGTAATGCGTTTCGGTTTGAAGGGTGGGGTAGCCGTTATAACTTATATCTCAAGGTGGGTGGCGCATTTACGTTGTAGATGTCTATGGGCTCCATTAACCACTTAACACCAGGTGGGCTGTGAGCTCGTCCACCCATCTAAGCAATAAAAAAAAATTAAAAAAGATGAAGTCAAAGTCTCAATATGGCTGCTTTGAGCTGTCCAATGTCAGTGTCCATACCTCTCCATGGGCCGATGGTGCGAGAGGACCGGCGAGGGGGGCGCGTCCTTCGTGCGAGCCGCCCGCCACGAACCTGTCGGTATTGTAACATTACACATGCGAAGCTACATCGTGACACGTGTCGATAAGCGAAAAGCGACACGAGGTTATCAGAGATACTGTCAATGGCAGTGACATGGACACTCGCGACATGTCATATGCGAGTAGTATACCAGATCATCAAAGAACTAAACCATCGAATATGATTTTTCAGGTTTAAATGTGTAATAATGGTGGTTTATTAACTGTTTAATATCTGTGAAGTGTACAAGTGTGGGAAACAAAGCCGCTGGACGTAACTTCACAGGGTCCCCAAAAACTCCACTGAAAAAATCTCAGTAAATGACCACCATTTTACTGAAATTGTATTTCATGCCATATCATCCTCATCTCATTCCATTTCACTTCATAAAAATAAAAATATAAATTATAAAATAAGATATGGTTAAAGGTCTTAGTTACCAGGTCATAAAATCCCTTAAATAATTATCTAATATTTATGTAAATACAGTCCAAATTTCAAGGACATTTAGGCTTACCGTTATAGGAGCCGGTGCCGTGCGATATCGTCAGCGGAGACGTCCGCTTACTGCTCTCCCTGCTGCTGTAGGCCTGCTGGAGTAAATACAAGAACATTATGTTTTGGTACACCCTTTAGCGTACTTATTGAAGGTAAAAAAATAATAATGAAGCGCGTACAACTTGCTGCACGTGTGAGAAGTTAAACTTCTTTTGCGGTGTGTAGTGTGTAGTGATTAGTGTTAGTAGTGATTTTCTTCATTTTCATTCTTAAATCAAATTTCTCTTGTATTATGGAATGTCTGTGTATAAGAGAAACGATCTCTTCACCTTTTATAAAATTTTAAATTGTATATAAAAAAAAATTTTTTGCTATAAATTTTTATTTTTTTTATTTTAATTTTTTATTTTATTTAGTATATTACATTTAAAAAAAATTTAAAATTTAAATTTAAAATAAAGTTTTTTTTATTCCTTGGTTAATAACAAAATATAATATAGTTACGTACGTTACTGCTTTCTACAGGTGCAATGAGAAACTAATAACAAGTCTAGTGGCCGACGCCCGTAAACAGAATGTGTATAAGAGAAACGACCTAGCTCGCTTTCCCTCTCCCCACGGTCGAGCGGTTCGCGAGACGCTCTATCTACTTCCCACTCTCGCTCTTCCTAAAACTTTTCTCTTTAGACGTAACGAATCTGTTGCGAGTTAACTCGAGTTACTCTCAACATGCTTACAGAAGTTTAACTTCGAAAACGTGGGACACGTGGGGTCGGTGTGCGGTGTGTATGTGTACCTGTTCGTCTGCAGTCTCCAGTGTGGTGGGCAGGTCGAGCAGCCTCTGTGAGCGGATGCCGTCGCCGGGCCCCATGTGGGACACGTGGGAGAAGTTCGTTGGGGCTGAGATCAGGCGGGAACGTCGCTCCGCACTGCGAAATAATAATGTTATTGTGTTGATGATAGATAATCAGGTAACACTGGACAGGGTTAGCTTCATCGACCCACAAATATCAACATCTATTCACTCTATATTTCCACGAACAAAAAAGGGTGTTTAAAATAAAATAGCAGACTTACAGTCGAGTGTGCGCGTCTAGCGCGTGCTGCGACTGATCTCTCACAGCTAGTCGCCTGGTGCCGGTTCGCGACGATAACAAGTCCGCATTCAGGGGACCCTCTGCGGAATAAAAATCGATTATTCTATCGATGATAATGATGATATTAATTTATCCCTAATGGGAAAGGCAAAGGACTTTAGTCCATACAGCCAGGTCTCGTTGTTGGTAATAATTGGAGAATTTTGGTAGTTTTCAAGGCCGAAGCCATATCTTGTCTTATTATTGTTGTCATGTCTTATTATTCTCGGTCATAAGGCCAAAGCCACTTCTTCGATGTTTTGAATTGGTCGAATCGAAGTAAAATCCATAAGTAATATTATTCTATCGGCACGCTATGATGGCCGTATTGACATATTACAATAGTAATGCAAAATGTCATTTTAATTCTCGAAAAACAATATAATGAAATCTATAAGTTTTTATTGCAAGTAGTACCTGATTAAAAAGGTTTTTTTTTTATTTGAAATATCGAAAACAAACGCTGAGTTGTGTCCTACCACCAGAACACTACATTCACCGCGGCTTCCACTGAAGTGTGTATACTTATATATTATAGCAAAGCATAGCATAGTATTAGCATAGCATTTAGTATATAACATAATTATTAGGTGTAATCTCGTATGACCCCCTAATAAGGCGGACCACCCAGAAACATAGGCTTCTTCATAATTGTAAACTAGGATTAAGATGATAATTAAACATGGAATACACGCAAGAAGACGTTTTCCTTTAACACCTCCCAAAGTACAACATTACACCACTCCAAAGCTCATCTGCCCGGACGGTTATCGGTTCTTCACCAGATACAACCGACCCGTTATTCACATTACATTACACTCACGGCTCATGAGCGGCTTCAGGTAGACGATGTAGGGGGCGGCGTCCCCAGAGAAGGGGAAGCCGTTGTTGCCGCCGCCCACGCAGATCAGCCAACCGGACGTGTCCAGAGGTCGGGCGTTGGCTGGAACACGAGATAAGAACCAGTGAGGACCACTGAGCCCTAGCGGACTGAGGACCAGTATCGAATGATGCGAATGTATCAGTGCTCGGATCCCAAAGATATGTACCAATTTTTAAATAACCCCACCCCGTGGACCACTACGCCCCCCCCCCCGCTCCATAATAAACACTTGGACTCCGTTATAACTACTGAACTATGCATCCGATTGACTTGAAACTTAGTATCCATGTAGAAAATACACGTACTTAATGGATAGGCTAATATTTATATGAGTGTTGGACTCCCTACACCAGTTGCGGGGGCGTTAATGATGAGAATCTTTGTGGGGGTGAGTCCAGCGAAGCGGACGGGCGCAGCTAGTTTTTAAATAAGTTCACGATCCACAACCACGACGATAGTGGTAAAATCATGTCTCCATTTTTATTTCGTTCTTGGTGAATGTATGGCATAGTACACCCCGTGGACCACTAAGGTCTCTCTGTTAACACATCGTAACAGTGTTCTCCGATTATTACAACAGCAATAATGCGTACGCCAAACCGCGTGCCAAGCGTGGCGGTTATGAATGAATGAATGAATGAATGATTTATTTTATTTCAGACAACAACAAGTCCATATGTGTACACAGTATCATTGAAACATACTCAAAATTAACAAAACCAATCAAATAAAAAATATACATTTATTAAAAATAATTATATACTGATATTTACTTCGAACCAACCATTATTATTATTTAGTCCGCAAGTGAACCACGGTACAATGGTTCAAGTACCGACAGTCATAACGGTATGTTAATGCCTTCAGGATGCTGTCAGGGCTGACCCGGACCCGGCTAATCAGGGATGTGCACCTTGTCCGCACGGTCGTGTAGAAACAATCGACTCGTGCGTCGGCGAACGTTCCCGACGCGCTACAGAACCGAGGCAGCCCCGACAGCACCCTGAACGCATTGTTGTATTGGACGCGTAAGGCGATTATGGGAACAAACCCCCCAATCCCCTCCCCCTTTATAAATAACACAGTTATAATTTTTTTTTTGTTTTTTCTATACTAATATTATAAAGAGGAAAGATTTGTTTGTTTGTTTGTTTCGAATAGGCTCCGAAACTACTGGACCGATTTGAAAAATTCTTTTTCCATTAGAAGCCGACATTGTCCCTGATGAACATAGGCTACTTTTTATATATATATTTATTTATTTTTTGGTTTCATGTGTGCTTTAATGTTTCCGAAGCGAAGCGAGGGCGGGTCGCTAGTTTTTAATAAAAAAATAAATATTTACTAACAATCACGCCACGTTAACTGGTCCCATGATAAGTTCGTAAAGAGCTTGTGTTACAGGTACCAGATAACGGAAATAAATGTAAGATTTTTATTATACACATACATACATATCGACGCTTGAAAGGCAAACGTGACTAAGCGACAATGCGTGAACTTTACAGTAGACTAATTTAAAGTTGAAATACCTGAAAACAAAATTTATTTTAACGAATCTAACTGTAGTAGAATCTAGCTGGTAGCTGTAGGATTGAAATGAATTTAATAGACCTAGAATTTTTTTTTTTTTGCGCTTCGAATATTGTTATTGCCTTTCATTTATATACAAAGTAGTTATTGTCGCTTAGTCACGTTTGCCTTTCAAGCGTCGATATATTTAATAGACATAACGAACTCTACTTACGTATGTTGATCGTCTGCACCCATTCGCTCGTTTCGATGTCGTATATGTCGATGTGTGTTTGCGTGAATATGAGGAGGTGCGACTCGTTTATAGCTGGAACACAAAATATATTATATACATTATCCGTTAATAAAACGCTTTAAAAATTCATGGAAGATAGGAGAGACCTGTGTTTTGCGTGAAATACGATATGTGTAAGAGAAGAGTGAGCGAAGATATGGTATATGATAGAGGAGTAGGGAAGGGAAAAGACTGGGAGAAGGGCAGGAGAGCTGCAACTTGTACAGTCATCATGCATAACTGCATGGACGCAGTTTTAATTTATGATGTGTGTTTACGGCCCGACGGCTCACCTGACGTTAAGTGGTAACCGGAGCCCACAGACATCTGCAACGTAAATGCGTCACCTACCTTGAGACATAAGTTCTAAGGTCTCTTCTTAGTATTAGTAAGTTACAACGGCTACCCAGGGATGCGCTACCCACCTTGAAATATAATTTCTACTCTCTTCTAAGTATAGTTACAACGGCTACCCACGGCAGAAATGGGCGGGGTACCAGCAATTACGCAATTTAAATTTTTATCAGTCTCTGATACCCATAACATAGGAAATACTAAATCGGGACCGTGCGTGATTTGTTCTCAGTTGCTAGTCGCGGTGAGGGGGGCGAGGGGGGTTGGGGGGTGCGGTACCGTGGTGCGTGGGGTGCGCCGTGTACATGAGCTCGGCGTCGCGCGCGCGGTGTCCGTGCCGGTCCACGTACAGCGCGAGCGTGTTGAACACGAGCAGCGTGTCCCCGGAGCCGCCCACCGCCGCGCAGCACAGCGGCCGCGCGCCAGAGTGCGACAGGAACAGGTTCACCTGGTTGTCCGGGTGCACCAGACCTGCGGGACGTTTACCGACATCATAATTAAGGACATCATTAGAGAAATTCAAAGTTTTTTTTCTTGAAGGGTTTAATGGCGCGGCAACGAGACCTTTAAGCCAAGCCTTTTAAGTTCTTACATTATGTAATAATATGGAAGAGGATATTAAGCGTGTTGGGGTTCAAGGGGAAGTTTGTAGAGTTCCAAATAGTAAGTATGTTGTTTGAGCACCTTTATTATGTCGGTTAAGCACAGATGGTAACATGTTAACGAGTCCGTGTTGCCAAGTGCACTGCGCCAGGAATGCAATAAAATAACTTGACACCACAATGACGACGTACGGTGTGTCAACGTGTTGGTTAGGTATGTACAAAGTGAAATCTGATTTAAAATTTTAATCAATTGAGATGAAACTAAGCGAGACGAGATAATAAAGTCTCAGTAAAATTTTGATTATTTACTGAATTTTTTAGTGTACTTTTTGAAAGAACCCAATAAGCTACGCCTAAGGGGGCGTCCATAAATTAGTTGAGGTGTTTAAGGGGGAGGGGTCCAGTCAAATCTCATGTAATCTTACATTGGAGAGAGGGGGGTTCTCGGCAAATATCACGCAATTATTTTTCTGATTGAAACAAAAAAAAATACTATTTTGGTCCATTTAATCCAGATTGTACACGCTTAAGATTTAACCTTGAGCGTAATCGTAATACGATTAAGATGATTCACTAATTCGTTCGAAAGAAAATAATTTCATTCATACTTCGACGTTATACATTTACTGACTGTCAAACCACCATATTTGTTTTATACCAAATAGCTCAATTCAATCTGAATTCACGATACAGTGTACTATAACCGTAAATAAAAGCACGAAGCAAATTTGTTTTTTTCTTTTTACAATAACAATCCAACGCGTTTACGTAAGAAACTCACATTTTGAAAAATCTCACGTGAGATTGGGAGATGGGGGAGGGGGTTGAATAAAATCTCACGACATCTCACCAGGGGGGCAGGGAGGAGCAGAAAATTTTAAAAAAACACCTCACGTAATTTATGGACACCCCCTAACGGTTGTTTCATTTTCCTACATTTTTGCAATATAACATCTGCTAAATAGTAAACCACTGTTATTACACATTTAAACATGAGGGAAAACACTACATCACTACAATAAAACAATTCTCACGACTTCGCATTCCCATTATAAAGTCGTATTTAATACTAAATATACCATAACGGATCAAATGACCCATTTTAAATTTTTGCATTGAAAACGCACGCATCACCTTATTGCTTTTGCTCATTTGACTTCGTAACTTTTTCTTGCCAATTAATCTACAGTTATTATACGATTTTTGTTTTGTTTTGTTTAATTTGAGTAATACTTGTCGTATACCATTATCTACGTATTAACACCACCGCAGCAAAAATTCAAATAATGAACTAATAAAAAGCAATCTTTTTTTTTATCTATTGCGTTGCCTTGTTGTCAGAACACGCAAGAAGAGATCTTTGGTTCCCTTACTGTCTTGTTATTTGCTGCTTTTTGACGCCATTTGTTAGTGCTACAAGAGTGAATTATTGCAGCGGTGGCGTTAATACATAAATACCATAGCCACATTTTTTTGCTACCTATGCTGATAGCCTTGGGAGGCTATTTCAGCTTCACTCTAACATGTAGGTGAGCTCACGGGACTCAAACCTGACGACGTTGCTAACACTGACCCTAGCAAGAGCCGTGCTTCGCAGAATCTACCACCGGATCGGAATCGCGACCCACTGAGAAGATCCGCCGAGAAACTCAGTGGGCTGTGTCTGAGGGTTAATTTACTCGACGAGTCCTTCGACGGGTTCGGCGAGGACGATAACCGGTGCTTGTGGTACTTAAAAGCATCGTTAGTAGATCGGGAGGATCCGTACTGACATGTTTAGGGCGACGTCGACTGTTTACCATTCGATTCACATGATCGTGTATGGCAAATAATTAAAGAAGTTTGTTATGTATGTATGAGATATATTGTCAAAATTTTAAGCTTTAAATGGTTCTACTGTAAAGTTAGAAAAATTCCTCTTTCCTCGTTGACTGCTCAATATTATTTCAAAGTTTTAAGGTGCTACGAGTATTTTGTGAGGGACGCCAGTATAAGCTAGACAGACTTTAGTCTAATTAGTGTGTTTGAGTCTTATAGAGGTGTGAACCGGTTCTTTAAAAATATAGAAAAAAACCGGTTTTTATAAAAACCGATAAATACCGATTTTTATTCAGGAGACCGATTACGATCCCAAAATAAATTTTCGACCGTTTGATATGTGTGCGTAACCAGTAAGTGTTGGTGTATAATTTAGGGATGATCGATATTCATCGATGATAAATAAACATCGATGTTTTGGTTTCGATAGCATCGATACATCGATATTATGAGAATAAAATATTGAATTATCGAAACGTCCATATATCTTTTAGGGCCATCTAACGGTGGATGTACTTTTTAGCTAGCGAGTCCAACTATTTTAAACTAAATGACACTGATTGACGTAATCGAAGTAAGACGTTATGTAGTACACAATGTGAAATTAAGAAAATGTTAATTGTGAAGTGTGATGTCGGAGTCAAGTTTAATAATAAGTAAAACGTAAATTCTAATTAATATAAAAATATAATAAATGAAATAGTTTTATTTCCTACCAAAAACATCGATGTTTACCGTACATCGATACATTTAAATCGAGGTTTTCCTAATATCGACCATCCCTAGTGTGAGTGAGGTAGTGTGAGTGAGGTAGTGCGAGTGAGGTAGTGCGAGTGAGGTAGTGCGAGTGAGGTAGTGCGAGTGAGGTAGTGCGAGTGAGGTAGTGCGAGTGAGGTAGTGCGAGTGAGGTAGTGCGAGTGAGGTAGTGCGAGTGAGGTAGTGCGAGTGAGGTAGTGCGAGTGAGGTAGTGCGAGTGAGGTAGTGCGAGTGAGGTAGGGTGTGCACTGACTGCGCGCGGGCTGGTCGGCGTCGCGACGTGGGTGCGGCAGCGCGTGGCTGGCGAACCCGCCGCGGTACCCCAGCACGAGGCGCGCGGCCGACAGCTGCACGCAGTACACGGCGGACGGCGCCCGCAGCTCCGCGATGCGCACGCAGCGCGCCGCCGTGCGCGTTATCTCGTACACGTTCACGATGTACGCGTTCTGGAACACGTTTATTTATTTATTTCATTGCTTAGTTTCGGTTCGAAAGGCGTCGTTGTAACTATACTGAGACCTTAGAACTTATATCTCAAGGTGAGTGGTGCATTTACGTCGTAGATGTCTATGGGCTCCAGTAACCACTTAACATCAGGTGGGCTGTGAGTTCATCCACCCATCTAAGTAATAAAAATAAAAAAGTTATCTCAACAGAACTATTGTTTTCATTATACTAATCATGTTATGATTTGACAATCGGGAATATCGGTAATTAATTAAATAAGGCAACACCGAGCCAATTTTCTAGCTCGTCGTTTTAGCGCGAGCTCTATTGTGTTCCGCAAGTTTCTCACAATTACAATATCGAACTTTAAGCATAAATGATTTGTAACAATCACATCTTTGCACTTATCTTTGTATAATGACGTCACAGATAACATAAATAAACACATAAAGATATGGTCCATCCGTTATGAACCTAGCTATTGCTCACACATTGATAATTTGTGAGTTATTACCGATTTTAATATGACGGTATTTCGTCACACAAAAACAAAATGGAGCGCGGAAATCGACAGTTACTTGTTTCTTGCAAAGAACGGCGAACCCGCACGCGCCAGCTCTGGTCGCGCCGGCTGCCAGTGTCAACGCGCCCTTGGTCTCGGGGAGCTTGACACTGTCCACGTCAGCCTCCAGCGCGCGAATGGGGACCAGCCGCACGTGACGACCGCGACCGGAAATTGTAACTGGAAACGAAAGATGTATTTTAGTATTCGTTGCACTAGACCTTCTGTACTTGCCGATTCAATAAGCTTAGCACAGCACGTGTAGACGCGACCCACCCAGCAGCTGCTCGTTGGGCACGTAGACGACGGAGTGCACGTGCGCCGGCCCCCGCTTGGGCACCAGCTCCCCGCGCTCCAGGTCCAGCAGCACGAGCCCCGCCTCCCCGCCCACGCACAGCCGCGTGCGCTCCAGGATGCAGGCGCACAGCGCGCCCCGCAGCGCCGCGCCCGCGCCGCTGTCCGCCACCGTGCACGCGCTGTACACCTGCACCGACAACGCTCTTAGAACTGTCATACTTTGGACATATCGCCAGAAAGAAAGGTGACAATCTGGAAAAGCTGCTGGTAACAGGCAAGGTATGCGGGAGAAGGCACAGAGGCAGAAATCCAATGCGCTGGTCGGACCAAATACGCTCCACTCTCAATACCTCAGTCCACGTAGGATAGACAGGAATGGCGCAGGATAATGCAGTAGAAAGTTATTAGAGGAAGCCACGACCCTCAGCACTGAGGATTATCGACGCAAGGAGGAGGAGGACACGACGCGACTTTTTTTTTCTACCTAAACTGAGAGCCTTGAGAGGCTATTTCAGCGTAACCTTAACTAGTAGGTGAGCTCACGGGGCTTAAACTTGACGACGTTGCTAACACTGGCCCTAGCAAGGGCCGTGCTTCGCAGAATCTACCACCGGATCGGAAGCGCGACCCACTGAGAAGATCCGGCGAGAAACTCAGTGGGCTGTGTCTGTGGGTTAATTTACTCGTCGAGCCCTACGTCGCAAGCGAGGGGTTCGACGAGAACGATGACCGAAGCTTGAGGTACCTAAAAGCACCGTTAGTGGATCGGGAGGATCCGAAATGACGTGAAACTCAGCTGGGGACTCTAATGGTAGGCAACGTCTTGGTTCTGACCCTGATATTGCTGACGCCCAAAAGCAACGGTAACCGCCTACCATCAGGTGCGCCGTATGCTCGTGTGGTCACTCAACCAGCCAATGTTACCTTATTATTATGTTTAATACACAGACATTCATTTGAAAATCTACTATTAAATACATCAAGATTGACTATTCGTGACAGACGATGAAATAGCTCTGCCGAGGGCCTTTTCTCCATCGCCACATATACTCAACAGTTCTGCCAGGGGCAGTCCCCCAGGCCCCACATATAGTCCACAGCTCTGCCGGGGGACGGTCCCCTTAGCACCACATATAGATCAACAGCTCTACCAGGCGGGCAGCCCCCCAGCACCACATATAAGGCCGTCAGCGCAAAAGTGGCCTTAGCTAGTGTGGAGATATCGAGGTTTAAATTTACTTTTACACTGCTTCGTAGGCAAAAACAATACGCGCGAAAATAATGTTTACAAAGCCAGCTGTTATCTATCGCCGAAACTAAGGATAGGCCGGTTTTGCGTCAAAATTTATTTCGTTTCAAATACATTGCAATTTATAAGCACAAATTTTGAAAAATTCTGGGTTAGGCCACTTTTACGCTGATGACCTCATATAGTCCACAACTCTGTCGGGGGTCGATCCTCCTAGCGCCACAAATACTCAACAGCTATACCGGGGGTCGGTCCCCCTAATGCCACATATAATTAGTTCACAGCTCTACCGGGGACGGTCCCCCCTACGCCACATATAACCCACAGCTCTGCCGAGGGACGGTCCCCCCTACACCACATATATCAACAGCTCTGCCGGGGGACAGCCCTTCCAGCGCCACATATAGTCAGCAGCTCTGCCGGGGGGGCGATCCCCCAGCGCCACATATAGTCAACAGCTCTGTCGGGGACGGTCCCCTAGAGCTACATATAGCCCACAGCTCTGGGGGACTGTCCCCCCTACGCCACCTATAGTGAACTAACACATTTGTCGGGCAGGTTGTTTCGCTTCAGTATCCGGTGCAGCTCGCTGAGCGCGACCACCCACTTCGTCTTCTCGGAGTCGGACTCTGCCAGCATGAGCGTGTGCGAGCGCTTGCCCCCCTCGATCTGTGACGTCGATATCTGTAAATAGTGAATTTAAATTGAGCTCCCCGTTGGATTGGTTGGTAGCCGTGACCTTCACTGCAGAACCGGGTCGCGGTTCGAATACATTCGTTGTCACTATCCTTATGACATATAATTGTTTTCAATTTTGTCGTACATCGAACATCTATTCAAATTGATGTACGTTTGTATTTATTTATTTATTTATTATTTATTTGTATTTTTTTAATGGTGGTAGGACCTCTTGTGAGTCACGTTGTAGATGTCTATGGGCTCCAGTAACCACTTAACACTAGGTGAGCTGTCTGAACAACTTCCACAAACATAAGCAATAAAAAAAAAATTAAAAAAATAGGGGCCTCGAGTAACGGTTCATCTTAAGCTCTTTGCTCACGGAGGATCTCCACGACGAAGGCATGATAATATCGTGTAATTATAATCAAGACCGCTAATGTGTATGCTTTCGCTGAGGGACCAGCGCCTCGAGCAGATATTTAGACTCGAACAGCGGGACAATGGTGTGGCAATGGGTGGCCACTGCGCCCCTGCCATTGCGGTCCCTGAACAACCGTCACCACCTACCCTTCCTCGAGCCGGAAGCTGCTTATGAAGGCAATTGTTTCAAATTCAATTTGAAAACCGAAATCAAAAGGATTTTTCTCGAACCTTCCACGATGAACTTATCAATAATTAATTACTTTTTTTTTTTAATTACGAGTACCTGGTAACTTTCCCTTATAACTGAAGAACGTATGGGATGGGATTATTTTAAAACTCAAAACTCAATCTTTACTTAATTTAACAAGTTTTATTTTAGTACTTTCTACGATTGACGCGAGTCACATACGTAATTTGAAGGGAGTTTCTAGTTCGAATGAAAACAACTGTCTTATCTCAGTGATGCGTTTAATACTACCTTATCATTACAAATTACATGACTTCTATGTACTACACTACAATTAAAGTGACAAGAAAATAGACTGTAGAATAAACCAGAGAACAACTAGCAAAACTAGTTTAGAATGCGTTATCACCAGTGGTCGGAGGAGGTAGATTGATTTTATATACTTGCGTCAAGATATTATAATATGGACATGCCATTTATCCATAATGAGAATTTTTTTAATTTGACAAAACTTATTTTTAATCCTCATCTGATACAATTTCTATATTTATGAGATAAAGTAACAAAAAGCCCTGTCTAAGTTTTGTCTCATACTGACAAGCGTCATTTCTAATTCAACAGAAAGGGACAAAATACGGTGTAACTATTCGAAGGTGTTTTTGTATTAAATAAAATACTGATTTCTTTCACCATTAGCTAGCACTGGTAGCGTAGATTAATATTATTATAACGTTTTTCACCTTAAGCCGATATTCATGCTAATTTCAAAATTCTGGAACAAATATCATAATAAATATGAAGTTCCAGTATTTTGGAGGCATATCCATATTATCCAATACGTTTGACGTCAACGATCTTAAATCAATCTACCTACTCCGACCTCTAGTTATTACCCTTCGAAATCGCTAAAATAAACACTCACCCTAAATATACAGGGTATGTCCCGTTTGCTGGCGTGTATGACGTCAGAATCCTTGACTGACGTCACGCTGAATTCAGGGTCCCTCATGTCGAGGACCTGGCTCACGCAGACCGACGGGAGAGCGTTCCTGTACGGAGGCACACAACGACACTGAATACAATTGAACCGACGTAACTAACACAAGCCTGACATGCGATTTCCGACTTTACGGTATACGTATGAAAGTATATTTTTCTTTGTCTCCACCTTATCCCACTAGGTGGGGTTGGCACAGCGAATTTTTCTATTCCATTCTATCAGCCGTCACCTCAACACTCACTCCTCTCTCTCTCTCATATCGTCATTCACACACTCCATCCATGTCTTCTTCGGTCGACCTCTTCCCCCTCTACCTTGCACTACCATTTCCATACATCTCCTAGTCACATGCGTCTCCTCTCTACGCGTCACGTATTTGTCCTACCGCCAGTAATTACGCAAATTATAATTTTGCGGGTTTGATTTTTATTACACGATGTTATTCCTTCGCCGTGGAAGTCAATCGTGAACATTGGTTGAGTACGTATTTCATTATAAAAATTGGTACCAGGCTGCGGGATTCTAACACGGATGCATCGCTCAACACGAATGCACCGGACGTCTTATCCTTTAGGCCGCGACGAATTCATTTTTACGACTACTTTCACCCTTCCTCTGATATACTCATTCCTTATCTTGTCCATTCTTGTCACTTCACACATCCATCTCAACATTCGCATCTCTGCCGCGTGCACTCCTCTTTCATGCTTTACTTTCGTCGCCCAACATTCAGATCCATACAGCACGACAGATTTTTTTTTTTTTATTGCTTAGATGTGTGGACGAGCTCAAATTGATCTAATGATTGTTTTATAAATTTCCCCTTTTAGGAAATTTACTGGTGGTAGGACCTCTTATGAGTCCGCACGGGTAGGTACCATCACCCTGCCTATTTTTGCCGTGAAGCAGTAATGCGTTTCGGTTTGAAGGGCGGGGCAGCCGTTGTAACTATATCGAGACCTTAGAACTTATAATTTTTTTTTTTTGAAAATACGTTTAAAAAACTCACCGATCTTGTGATATGTCGTACAGGAACAATTTGAAATCACATACAACTACGAATTGCCGCATCCAACCTTTCTTCACTCCCCCCGGCTTCGGAACCTAGTAAAGAAAAAAAAAATTGAATTTAAAATACATAACTATTTTGTAAGATTTTTTCGTGGTCAGAGGTGATCGCTCTCAGTAATCTATGTACAGCTTCACTGGCGATAGGAGGGTTTGCGAACCCGCCTGGGTAGGTACCACCAACCGGCCTACTTTAGCTGCGAAGCGTATTCTAAAATATACTAGTTTCATGAACACGTGTTTCTAATTTATAGATCTGTAATTTTTATCAAACATGAAATTATAATATAAATCAAATGCTAATTTAGAAATAAAAAAAAAACTTTATTTATTTATATATTCTCTTTTAGCGTTACCACTGAGTGCTTCTAGCACAGAGATTTATTTTACAAGTATAAGAATTATATATTATTTTATACTCTCCTTGACCGATTTTGGCCGCGGCGACCACTACAACTCCATTTCTAATTGTCACGGTGTGCTCATGAGTGGCTAATTTTTTTAAGGGTTTTTATGACCTGGTAACTAAGACCTTTCAGTAAAGTCTTATATTGATTGTAATGAAAACTATTTTATATGAAAAATGATATTATGAAATGAAATGAAGTTGATTAATATGTAACATGGCATGAAAGGAAATGAGACGAAATGAAATTGATTTGCTGAGACTTTTGGAGAATCGTGAGAAGTTACGATAGCGAGTTCCAATGTGGCGGTGGTGGTGTACCTTGACGTATCCCTCGTAGGCGGTCCCCTGTCCCCGCGCGGGGTCGATGCCGAGCGGGCGGCGCGCGCGCGCGGGCGGCGGGCAGCGCGCACACAGCAGCGCGCAGCACGCCGCGTGCACGCCCACCCCGCAGCGCTCGCACACCACGCCCTGCCGCGTCAGCCCGATCTGGCAACCACACTCATGTCACGCACCACCAACAGAAGCCGTCCTCCACATAATCATACAACTAGAGCAGCCTTTCCCAAAGTGGGTGGTAACGCCCCCTTGTGGGCGCTGTAGGCCTAAAGGGGGGCGGTAAGAGATCCAGAAAAAAAGGGGGCGTTGTGTAGAGGCTTGGGAGGCGATTTGTAATCTCATCTAGGAAGACTGTTCGACACCGAGTGAGCTCTTGCTATAGTTTAAGTAGGTGAAAAGATGGGGGCGCTAAAAAATAATTTATTTTCAAAGTGGGCAGTAAACAAAATAAGTTTGGGAACCCTTGAACTAGAAGAGCTTTGCTCTGTTTTTTTTTAATGATAAATTATGTTTTTAGATATTATATTTAAATACGGTTTGAGCCCCGTGAGCTCACCTACACGGTGGGGTGAAGCTGATATAACCTCTGAAAGCTATCAGCATAGGTAATAAAATAAAAAAGTTCCGATAGCTGGTTCCTCGCGTGAGAACTCACCATCAACGACGTGCAGTGATTACATTTGGTGGGGCTGCTGAATGTTCTCACGAGGAACTGGTGCACCTTCTCCTTCCCGGGGAGAGCTGGCCCGGCCGAGGGGTCCTGGGAACGAAACATTAGATATTTACAATACAGATGTCCATCACTGGACGGATCCTACCTCTAACCACATTGAAATAGGAAACGATTGAAGGATTCGCCAGTGAGATTAGTGCGAATTTTTTAACTTCTCGATCGCGTAAAAGTTAACTCAAATTTGTATGGTGTTGGAACAGCGCCCCTAACGGCAAACGTAGGCATACGTTCCAATTCCATACAAATCTGAGTTAACTTTTACGCTATCGAGAACGTTAAAAAAACGCACTAAGCACACACCGAGAATGAGCAGCAGCGTTTTTTTTATTGATTTGATGAGTGGACGAGCTCACAGCCCATCTGGTGTTGAGTGGTCACCGGAGCCCATAGACATCTACAACGTAAATGCGCCACCCACCTTGAGATATAAGTTCTAAGGCCTCAAGTATAGTTACAACGGCTGCCCCACCCATCAAGCCGAAACGCATTACTGCTTCACGGCAGAAATAGGCTACCTACCCGTGCGGACTCACAAGAGGTCCTACCACCAGTAATCTAAGTATTTTATAAGCGCACTGCGATCGCTACCCGGCGCTGACTAGTGGAAGGGCGTGTTGTAAGTCCACACGGGCAAGTTCCTCCCTCCTGCCCATTTCTACCACAAAGCAGTTATGGGTTTCGGTTTGAAGAGTGGGGTCGGTCGTTGCGCTAATCAACGTAGAACTCGACCTCACGTGTCGAGGTGGGTTGTTCATTCACCGTCTCATGTCTATGGGCTCCGGTAGCCAGGTGCGCGATGACCTCAATCACGTGACTACGAATTTAAAAAAATTGTCAAACAAAAATGTACACTAACACATTGACTAACGGTCGACATCTCGCTGGGCGAGCTCTTCGTGGACGCCGGCGAGGAGGCTCTCGGACCTTCCATTTCATCTTGAGACTCAACGGAGCCACTCAATACTCCCGATTGCTGAGATCCGTACATTAGCTGCAACAAAACTTTCATATTAAAGCATGAGAAAAAAAACTATTAAAAAAGTTGTAAGACTCATATATGTGGGTCATACACAAAAAGAGTAAAAAAAGTGTTATAGCAATGTATCATCTAAAAGAGGAAATTGATGAATATTTGAAAGCATTTAAATCGTAAAGGTACTATATTACTACTCATTTTAATCGTATCTTGTAAAATATTACATTTCATAACTTCATTTGGATGGCGTTAAAGTTAAAAAAATCTCTTCCTGTGGACTGTTACAAGACGAAGGTATAATGTTTGAGCCATGTTTAAAAATAGTTTAAATACCCTATGTATTAAAATTATTTACTTGTAACACAAACAATATAGTAAAGATGATAATATTGAGAATAAAACAAATATATCGTTACTATCTGTATACAATAAATACAATAAACTTATGGTTACATGAAATGGAGTCTTTTCTGTGGACGCGATAAAACGACACCAAATTTTTATTTATTCGACCGCATTAAGCTTATGTTTTTAACTGTTGGCATCACTAAATAGTGGCCATTCCGGCGTTTGATATTTTGTTGTTTCGATTCCAGTGCGAGGGAAAGTATATTTTTTATTCCAAAACACACATAAACGTAAAAGATGAAGTGTTCTTTCCTGTTCCAATTATAGACATGTAAATATTATCTATAAAAATGTATATTTATTATTTTTATATGAGCATTTAGTACAAGTAAATTAAAAGCATGTTACTTGATTTCTAACCTCAAAGTTAACTTCTTTGCGCAAGAGTTTTTATAAAACATATTTTCTGTGGACATCTTTCCTGTGGTCACGATGTCCACTGAAAATACTATGTCCACAGAAGAGAGGTAAGAAACATACCTTAGTTGGTCTAAGTAGAGAATAACTAAAAAAATAGTCGAACCGAGGGCCTACTAAGAGCCTACTTTAAGACGTGAGAAGAAAAACAGCAAAAAGCTAAGGCTACTGATTTGATTAGTAACACTTCATCTTCAAGTTCATCATATTTGGCAAGATTTCGTGTTAGTGTAGGTAATGTTATTAGAGCTCGTAACTTGCGACGACTTAAAGCAGAGAATAAGTATTTAAGAATAAAAATTTCAAACATGGATTCAGGCTTAGTTAGATATCGTTTGCAATTATCAAGATTAAACAGAAAACAGAAGAACAAATCGTCAGTTAGAGCAACGAATAGACAGAAAAAAGAAAATAGTGAAGAAATACAGCTGATATGCATTGTTTTCATTATCGTTTAGGTCAAATAAATTTGGAAATAAAGACATTGAATTCGTTTCGGGCCTCACATGTTCTAGATTCTGGATCAAATACTTCTGAAATAGACTATTTATCTGTACCTAATTCTCCTTTTATACCAGTAACACCCAACGCATCTACGCTATCAATATCACCTGATTTCTCAGACAGGTTTACTCCAGATTATGATATTATATATGATCGAGAACCACGTAAACCTATTAAGCGGGCACTGGGTATATTATATTCTGATAGTGAGTCCGATTGCTCCATAAGTTTTTCATCAAAAAAATGATGGCCATCAACTCCTTTACAATATTCAGACAATTCTGATAGTTCTCTGGAAATATTTCGAAATAATTAAAGTCCTTAAATTTCATTACATTGCATATTAAAATTCATTAGCTATCTAGAGAATTATATACGAGTAATATACCATGGCTGTAAAATTATTATCATTCGACATTTGTTTTGTTTCATAAGTCCACCGAAGGGATTTTCCTCTCTATAGACATTATTATTTTATTTTTTATTTTCCAATTAATGTGATTATGTTGACATTTTATTTGCGTTTTGGTATTCGTTTATATCAGTGGCTACATGTGTTTGATTATGTTGTCTTAATATATTTTAGCTTACGCTGCATCACAGCTTTTCATCTCTCTTGTAGACCAAATCGTCTCTTCTGTGGTCCGCAAAAATATAGAAATTGCGATTATGCCAAAAATAAGACATATTGATCTCGGTTACAGTGATTAAAAGATTGATGATCAATAATTAAATAATAAATAGTTTGTTTCGCACTGATTCTGAGATATTTTTTTTGCTGCTCTTTTTTGTGCTCTATTTGTGTATGACCCATGTATGTAAATATATCCAAATTACAAATCATTTCTAAAATCTTTATAATTTTTTTACCAATAAACAAAAAAATACTATAAAGCTTTATCGACTTTTGGTAGGCAGCGGCTTGGCTCTGCCCCTAGCATTGCTGAAGTCCATAGGCGACGGTAACTACTTAGTATCAGGTGGGCCGTATGCTCGTCTGCCTACAAGGGCAACAAAAATAAAATAAAAAAGGTAGCGGCTTGGCTCTGCCCCTGGCATTGCTGCAGTCCATGGGCGATGGTAACCACTCACCATCAGGTGGGCCGTGTGCTCGTCTGCCTACAAGGGAAATTTAAAAAAAAAGACTATAATACCATCACTAAAAACAGAGAAAGCAAAAAAAAAAACAAAAAAAGCAAACATTAAATTAATATACCTTTGCGTTACAAAAATGTTGTGCATTCCTGTAACGGGCCTGCAACGACATCTGTGCGAGAAATGAGAAACGTGTAAAGCAAAATAAAAAAATTAATTAAATAAATAAAAAAGAAGCAATGTATTACCATGAACTCGGTTATTATGGTGATGAGACGGTAAGAATGTGAAATAAGACCAGATAAGACAATTAGATGGCGCTAATCTATGCAGCATTGGCACCGGACGCGAGGCCGCAATGAATTGCAAACTTATGACGTAAATTACTAAGCAAAACTGACGCTTGTCGTTTTAGAAGATGTTTCTCGAGCCGGCAATGCATCGTGAGGATAGCCGAATGCCCCTTTTTTTTCTTCCTACCTTTTTTTTATGGCCTTTGTAGGCAGACGAGCATACAGCCCACCTGATGGTAAGTGGTCACCGTCACTCATGGGCGTCAGCAATGCCAAGGGCAGAGCCAAGCCGCTGCCTCCACAAGCCTCGTTTGAAGAAGGACATGTCATAGCGCTCAGAAAACACCGTGGAGGGAAGTTCTTTCCAAAGCCGGATGGTACGTGGCAAAAAAGATCTTTGGAAACAAATTCTAGTAACCTCGGAAGGTCATACTAGATTCTCAGAACGAGTAGGTCCACTCACGGGGCTCTAACCTGACGACGTTGCTAACACTGGCCCTAGCAAGAGCAGTGCTTCGCAGATTCTACCATCGGATCGGAAACGCGACCCACTAAGAAGACCCGGCGAGAAACTTACTGGGCTATGATGGCCGCACGTCACATTTATATCTACATAATATATTCCATTGAGTGCAGTGAATAAAAAAAAGTTAAAAATACACAATTTTTTTTCCATCGTGATTTCTTAATTCCTATTTTTTTATTGTATTGCACAAGTTTGACAAGAGATTCAAGGCTATTGATTTTGTTTTTCATAAAGGCATTAATGAGTTTCTCGACGGGATCTAATCACGATTTAAAACATTCCTAACGTCTTATCTGGCCAAATTTCCACTAGATCCTTCAACCACCGATTAGTCACAAAAATAATAATTGACAAAATACATTGAATTTAATTTTACAAGAGGGTATTTTCCAATGTCGTCTAAACATACATTCCTTATCAAAGTTTCTATGACGCAATGTTGTAACAGTATTATATTTTTTTTTAGTTCAAAATAATTTAGTATTGGTCTTCTGTATACGTGAGTCGAAGAGACAAATAAAAAGACTACTGTTACGGTTTTAATTCACGTTAATTATATATACAAAATGATTTTGAATTGAAAATATGTACCGACATTTTCAGACGTATTTACGTTATAAATTTTTTGCAATAAGAATTGCTCTCAGATATTTAGAAGATACCCTTTAAAATTTGATGCTGCAATAATACCTTGTGATTTAAATTTTAAATAATTAAAAAAATTATAACATAAATTATAAACTAAAGTTATTTTTCTGTTAGTTAGTTAGCAAAATGAAATGACAAAGATCTTACGCTATATTACATTACACAAAAAAAACTTTAACCAAAATGTTTAAATAAAAATGTACAGTTGCGAACAAAACTCTTAACCAAATATTTACATTAATATGTTTACAATACATACAGTGACAGCGTACCTTTTGTTCGTTGATAGCCGCAACGTTGTCGTAGTGCCTCTCCGCGGGACCCTCCTTCAGGAACTGATCAAGATAGCTCATCTGTGACGATGGACGATCCAAGACTGGAAACGGTAACATCATTGAGCATTGTGCGCACATAGTATGTAAATTAATCACATTAACACGTTCACTGTCATGTAGGTCACCGATGCCCTACGCGGCGCTCTGAAGTGATTACGTCGATTTCTGTTACTAAGCTTTTTTTTATTGCTTAGATGGCTGAACGAGCTCACAGCCCACCTGGTGTTAAGTGGTTACTGGAGCCCATAGACATCTACAAAGTAAATGTTCTAAGATCTCAGTATAGTTACAAAGGTTGTTCTATCCTTCAAACCGAAACGCATTGCTGCTTCACGGCAGAAATAGGCAGGGTGGTGGTACCTACCCGTGCGGACCCACAAGAGGTCCTACCACCAGTAAGCGTCTGGATTGCCTAACTTTGCCTTTTTTTGTTTGTTAATGTTTTAGTCTTTTAGGTCTTTTAGAAATACGATTCATTCGCAGTATCTACGGATTAGTCTTTGGCAGTCTATTAGATATTCCGGCGCCTTAATAAGAAAAACCATTAAGAAGTATCATTCTAAAGGAGCTAAACATCCGAAAAAGGCTCTCTTCCATATATGACGGGAACGTGTTGTGAGTTTCTTCGGACACATCATGCGGTCTCCCAGACATGAATTAGAGAAGCCCATAATTGCGGGCCGCATAGAGGGCAAGCGTGCCTCCATGCCACCCATAGTCGAACACAGTAGAGGAACGTCACATGTGGTCGCAATCCTCAGCGGTGAGGGAGGAGAGAAATCGATATAATTACTTCAGTGTGCCGCGTAGGACACCGGTGACCTACATGATAGTCAACGTGTTAATCACATCTTTCGAATTTAAGTGACGCAAAAATTTCGTTCATTACGATCCTTTATAATTATTTTTACTCTAAAACCGTAGAATATAAATATTACATGTAAGATTTACTTTTATAAATGCTTTTATCTCCTTAAATAAACATAGTAATATAAAACATATGATTATGATTCTGATTATATTACAAACTATCGCAAGTTTCAGCGCCACTTGATTCTAAAAGATGCAACACGTTTCGAGGTTTTTTATATCCAATATATATATATACATAGAAAAAAATATTTAAATAGAAGAAAAAAAATAAACACATAAAACCAATCCCAACCGAAACCGACATCACAAGTTTTAATACTTATAAAAAAAATAAACACAAAATACACTTTTATTATTATTAATATGGTATTGTAATGTCGCGTGCAAAAATGTAAATTATTGACTAGTCGAATTATTTATTTTGTATTGCAGCCTTAAATTTAAAAAAAAAAAAAAAAAACTAAATGTTTTTAAACGTATTTCTATTGAACCACTTTTGCACCCGACGACACTTATGACGTTTTAGTCAATTTAAAAAAAAACCCAGGACTATAGACATGCACAATGGACGGGACACTGTACAGATGAAGCCCTCTATGAGTCAACACAAACAACTTATCTCAAATCTCAAATTTGGTGAAGATCGTTAAATGATTCATAAATCATTTTAATCATTATCTATTTTTTTCCTACCTATGCTGATAGCCCTGAAAGACTATATCAGCTTTTCCTTAACGTGTAGGCGACCTCACGGGGCTCAAATCGGGTGTGTTGCTAACACTGACCTTTGCAAGAGCAGTGCTTCGCAGAATCTACCACCGGATCGGAAACGCGACCCACTGAGAAGATCCGGCGAGAAACTCGGTGGGCTGTGTCTATGGGTATCATTACCATAATACAACGTGATATATATATGTATATCCTAAAGTTTTTGAATCGGAATTCTGCTTCAAATATAATCGAAGACGAGATGAGAGAATCATAGAATTTTACAACATATCGAACAGTGAAAGGCTATTTATTACGTTTAAGCGACATTTCGCTTAATAAGCGACATTTATCTTTGTAATTAATAATATCCGTTGTATTTGGTATTAGCATCAACAATTCGATGCTTTTAATTGAACTTCAATTATTAAGTTTACTCTATTCAGAGTTGAAAAAGCTTTTTTTCTTGTGATAATTTTTCCAAATTTTAATCTTTAATATGCTCTCCTGTAAGGTTGCAAAAATGTCGCTTAAACCAACTAGCCTTATACCCATCGATATATATCTAGATCGAAGCTTTTTTTGAGAACTAAGGTCATTCACCCTTTGAAATCTGAATGTAAATATCATTATTACAACTTCCAAAACGGTTGTCTGTGCCGACTCGATCTAAGGATGTACAAAAAAATAATTAAAGATAATTTACAAAAAAATAAATTAAAACAAGATTAGTCAAAATACCTAGGGCATATACAAACAAGTGTTAAAGGAAAAAAAAAAAACAATCGCTCAGCGCGTTATGTCGCATCGTGACAGATAATGTGATTACGAATCGATTTTAATCGAAGGCATCATCGATTTTAAAATCGATTAAACCGTTTCTTTTGTTCACGATTACGCGACAAGCACAAGCAAAAGCGAAGCTGTTTTCGGCAATGAAAAAGAAAAATGCCTTTTAGATCCGAATTCAGAGAACTTCATCGCCGCTTGACTAGATCTATTTAAACATAATCGATAATTTTCATCTTCACACACACCAATCAATTAAGTGAAAACAGTACTGGACGACTTAAGCTCATTTAAATCTATTTTTTTTGTTAACAGTACCCAAATAGCTTATTATGTACTGTTAACGAAACAGTAATTTCCAAATTAAAATGTCTCGAACTTCAATTAAGAATAACAAGTCAACTTCCGGAACGGCGATGAGGCAATTTCAAATTTAAAAAAAAAACATCGACAATTTCCCTTTTACACTTGCTCGTATTTACAATGGAGTGATTGATTACACAAAGAAACTAATTTACTACGTAGCACATGGACAAAGAAAAACTTACACCTTAAGAAAATTAATCGAAACAAAATCTGTTGGCGCCATCAGAGTACACTCGAGAACAAAAAAATTGTACAGTCGCCGAAAAAACACTATTCCAATTAATTCACGTAGTGACTAACACGAAATAGGTACAACAATTTGTTGAGGGCTTACCGCGTCTCGATCCTTCATAGTACTGTGACAGAAAATTAACTTGAAATGTCAACAACAACATTACCATTATCCCTTCAGGGCGTAACTGGAATAGCCTCTTAGGTTGCCAGCGAATAAGTAGTGAAAAGAAAACATTAGTTGAACTATACGTGAACGATTTTGAATTTGACATCTGTGTGCTTAGTGCGAGTTCTTTAACGTTATCGATAGCGTAAAAGTTAACTCANTAGTACTGTGACAGAAAATTAACTTGAAATGTCAACAACAACATTACCATTATCCCTTCAGGGCGTAACTGGAATAGCCTCTTAGGTTGCCAGCGAATAAGTAGTGAAAAGAAAACATTAGTTGAACTATACGTGAACGATTTTGAATTTGACATCTGTGTGCTTAGTGCGAGTTCTTTAACGTTATCGATAGCGTAAAAGTTAACTCAAATCTGTATGGAGTTGGAACGTTTGCCTAAGTTTGCCGCTAGGGGCGCTGTACCAACTCTATACAAACTTTAGTTAACTTTTACGCTATCGAAAACGTTAAAAAACTCGCACTAAACACACTGAAGTCTAGACAAAGTTTAGTCACGATTAAGTCTGACTGTGTGTTGTGACATTAATTAAATAATCAAATCTGAATATCATGATTCAAACCAGGTATTATTAGTCACTTTTTTTTGCTCTTTTGGTATACCAACAGACAATGTTTCTATAGTAGAAGTGAATAATTAACAAAAACACAATCACAATGACCACTACTGGGTAGAGGGCGCTAGTTTCGTTTAAAACTAAAAACATAACGAACCGTTCTCTTCTTTGGCGCTCCAGTACGATTTCGCCGATCCTTTTCTCGCTGCGTGCGCACAACTATTTACTTAATACGCATTACGTTTAGAGTTGAAATTTCAACCAACGAATTGTTAGGGTAACTGCCCTGTCCCTAGGTATTAAATTAAATCTTAATCTATATATGGCAAACAAATCTATACTAATATATAAAACTACAGTGGTTTTTACGGATGTTCCGTTATAACTACTGAACCGTGCATCCGATTGACTTGAAACTTGGTATCCATGTAGAAAATACATGTACTCAATGGATAGGCTAATATTTATATGAGTGTTGGACTCCCTACACCAGTTGCGGGGGCGTTAATGATGAGAATCTTTGTGGGGGTGAGAAATAATAATGTTAATTTTAAATGCCCAGCGAAGCGGACGGGTAGAGCTAGTAGCTAAATATAGTTAGACGAAAGAGGTTGAATATCACATAAACAGACTTCAGATTACTGAGAGACAAGATAGGCAGTATGATATCAATAAAAGTTTAAGTAAGCTTTTAGCTTTTGTCAACTAGCCCACAACGCATTGCATTGTGTGTTCTGATAAATATATCGAGGAACGAAATACTATTTGTTTTAAGCAACATTTATATTTGTAATTCAAGGTGCGTTTTATTTGGTATTAGCATCAACGGTTCCATGTTTTTAATTGAACTTCAATTAAGTTTACTGAGTTTACTCCATTTAAATAGGCTGAAGAAGATTTTTTGATATTATATTTTTTTCTAAATTTTAAAATTTAAATGGCTCTACTGTACAAGTTGCCAAAAATGTCGCTTAAACCAAATAGCCTTTTATCCCTCAATATCATAATACCATACTAACTTAAATCGAAGAAATCACACCTAAGCGAACAGGGCAGAGAACTTAGAAAAAACAGTCTTCTTACAAAAATGCACATACACATTTGAAGTTAATCAGAAATTAAAGTGAAATAAAATAATCAAAAACAATTTAAAACTTTTTTTTTTAATAACTTATGTACGTACATAATAACATGTGTACAAAGTTCATTACTAGACGAAAAAATAATAATAATCAAAATCCGTATACAGGATGTATTCTGATGAAGCATGTAAGTATTATTGGATCTTTTTAATATCACCACCATGAAATTATGGCGTGATATCATATATGAACCATTTTGGCGTGATATCATATACTATATCATATGATATAAAGAAAATTATACATAATATATTATATATAAAAAATTTAAAGTTTCATCAATCCACCCTGTATACAATTACTATGCATGTATGCAATGATTAAAAAACAATAATATTTTAAATGCACTGTATATGAGGAACAAAAAAGTTTTTATAAAATAAATTTAAAACGCAAAATAAATGTATAACATATCGAATAAAGCATAGTTTTTGTTTTAGAAATTTTAAGGCCAATCAGTAAGTCGATTTTTGTATCGAATGTTGCATCGTTAATTTTAAAGGCTTAACGAAAGGGCATCGGTCGAGGAAGATGTAGACCTAAGAACAAAATGGAATCAATGGATGGATTGCGTCAAAAACGATATGTGTATGAGGGGAGTGAGCGAAGAAACGGTATATGATAGAAGAGTATGGAAGGAGAAAACATGTTGCACCCACCCCAGGTGACTGGGAGAAGGGCAGGAGAATTATTGTGATAATTATGAATGAAAGAGCATCGGCAGTGGGATAAAAAATATCGATAACAAAAAACTTATGTCTAACAATAGACTTATATTCGTTTATAAAGAAATTGCGTTACACCTGGTATATTGCCACTGATCATATCCATGACATTGGCTAGATTACTGGTTCTAGGGGGTCTTGGGAGCGCGCATGGGTAGTCAGTTACCCACCATCCTATTTCTACAATGAAACAGTAACACGTTTGGGTTCGAATCGTGGTGCAGCCTTTGTACTACAAAAACAGCCTCCTACTTGGAGATCTATAATCAATAGGCCACCCACAACATACCCATTTCAATCAAGCCTTCTCTATAATACTTCATTTAGTAATGATAATTTCAAGTACCTACATTATCGTAAAAATAATGAGCTAAAATTTCTCAAGACTCTGGAACGTGTCAAACGTAATGGTTCACGTAACTTAATTGGCCTTGAAATGTAAAAAACAAAACCACTGAGATTCTACTAGATTCTAACATATTCTATTAAATTAAAAGAGAAATAAAATGAATTCCTTACGAACTAATCAAAATAAAAACAAAAAAGAACAGCGAACCTGCATTGTGATTTAATAATATCAATTCAATTTTATTTATAACACTTGTGTGCGTGATTGTACGGAGTACCGCCACAAATAAAATACATTGCGATATCAATCGAAATCAATAAAATTGTACAAAATCATTTAAAATTAGCTATTATTATTATGTTTCTTTTTTATATTTAGTAAAATATATAATAAACTTTGGTATTCATATAGGAAGCATACGAGAAATTTGAAATGATGGTAAAAACACCCAAAACTGAGTAGGCGTCAAAATTTGCATTGCAACATCGACTTCGATCACACAAACACACACACACACACATTTTATCATCAAAACCATAAGATCAGATAATATCGCTTAGCTCATAATATGAGTACTGCTTATGGTTCTTTTTCGAACAGGAGAAGCAAATACCTACATACAATCTAAAGATTTTGTCAAATACATTATATGTGTATGATGAGTCCAAGAACAGCTTACGAATCTATGGAAACACCTTAAGATCCTAAAATGAAAATTTGACGTGCGCGAATTTCGAAAACATACTCTACAAATAGCAGCTCACGGTTGAATTTCGTTCTACAATATTATATCGGACATATGACCTTATGCTTCTGATGTGTTACAACAGTGGTACAAGAGCAATTGATTCGTTCACGGAGGGACTAGTTCGAACTATTGAGGTCGTACAAATATAGCATACTTTGAGGCGAGTTCGGACTGTACATGGGGAGCTTAGCTCTGAAGGCAGCTGTGTCTGTCTCTATTTAGCAAGTAGTTATTTCAAGTTAGATTTATGTACGTCGCAATTGAGGACGTCAGCACAAAAGCGGCTTATGCTTAAGACAGTTAGGATGGAGATAGTGAAGTTTGAATTTACTTTGACACTGCTTCGTAGGCATAAACAATACGCGCAAAAATAATGTTACTGGAGCCCATAGACATCTACAACGTAAATGCGCGACCCACCTTGAGATATAAGTTCTAAGGTCTTAGTATAGTTACAACGGCTGCTTCACGGCAGAAAATAGGCAGGGTGGTGGTACCTACCCGTGCGGACTCAGAAGAGGTCCTACCACCAGTAAAAGAACCACCAATTTACAAAGCCATCTGTTACCTATGGGTAAAACTAGAGATAGGCTGGTTTTGCATCGAAAAAATATTACGTTTAATAAATTGTAATAGATAAGCAACACAATAAAAAATTGTGGGTTAGGCCACTTTTTCGCTGACCGCCTCAATCATCTATCTCACGTTTTTGTTGAGCGGGCCGCGCGTGTGAGTAGCACAGCTATATATCGCATATACGTACCACACGTGAGTATTGCTCTAATATAATTCTGTTCTCAAAATTTTTTATAGCAGAATTGCCATTTCATTTGATAACATTAATAACAAAATCTCTAGCAGATTTCTTCGAGATTTCACTTTTTTTTTCTTTCTTTTATAATAGTCACAATAAATTACAATAATTGAAAAATATAATTAAAAAACGATTAGATCTTTCGATTGATTCAAATTAATATTTAATAAAACTTCAATAAAAAAAAAAGCGTACAACGTATAAAAATAGCTATTCGAATCTTTGGCATTTTTTTTTTCTTTTCTTCTTCAGACTAGAAAACCGTTACATAGACTAGACAGCGTTCCGACGAAATTAAAGACAGTGAAAGAAGGAGAAAGGAGATATAAAAGGTAAAGATTTGACATAAAGAATAAAATATCGAACGACACACAAAAAAAAAAAAGAATATCGTCATAATACATATTCCCTTACACAAGGGATAACAACCAATTTTTATATACAACAGTACAATTGAGATTTTAAATTGATTTAAGAAAAAAAAAATACTAGATTATTATCATATCGTTAATAATATCGGTCGTATCAATCGTATATCTGATGGTAAACCAAAATGGCCACGCCCCATATACATGACGTCACTCCCAAAAACAAAGGTATGTACGGCCTCAGCCAAGTCCGAACTGAATGGGAAACGAAAAAAAAAAAGACACAATGCAGGAACGTAAATCGAACAAAATAGAACGTTTTTCAAAAATAAATGCCACAGATAATACATTCACGTTTACAAAAGAAGCGCGGGCGGCGGTCGGATCGTTTCTCAAAATGGCCGCCGCCGCGAATTTCACAATCACAGTAATTAATGTTTTTTTTTTAAAATCCAATTCCATATCATAGATACAGATTTTTTAATCCGTAAACATATATTTTTTTATCAACATAGCCAATATACAAATAAGTTTAGAACCACAGATAAAATTTTATTTTGAATTGTTTTTTTTTTAGAGTCCATAAACAAACGCCATTACACATTTTAGTTTTCGCATTTCGAACGTCGTTATTTTCGTTTTTTTCGACGCGGACGACGTTGGACTTTGTGTCGGGAGCCCAAGAATCCATTTTGACGTGATTTTTGTTTGTTTTTTTGTTTTTTTTTGTTTTTGTTTTGTCGTCGTTAACGTGACGATATAACGCAACGGTAACGCGTGTTTGGATGGGATTGTGCGGTAACATGTAAGGAAAACAAAAAGAAATGGTGCACTAAATATACATTATCCACTTACAGATACGTGTCAAATAAGCAAACGGTGTATTTTTATAATATAATAAAAACTTTAGGTGGTGCAAACATGAGATCTGCGAGGTATAAGCTATTATGAAGACTTACTTGCTATGCCATATTGGAAACCTCGAATTTTGATAAAAAAGATAAACTTTATGATATAAGCCAATGGGTCAAGTTGAGACATGGGGCTGGAGTCAGCGTCGGTTGACCGCAGCGGCCGAGGGGGCCCAGCGGGGGGCTCGACGGGGGGCCGGCAGGGGGCCAACGGGGGCTCAGTGGGGGGCGTGGGGAGGACACGTGCGAGTACTCACAGGAATTGCCGGCGGCGTGCGGGGCGTCGAGCCGGGCCTGGAGGTCCCGCGTGTGCTGCTCCTTACGCTTCAAATCGTGCGCCAGCGAGTCTAAGCGCTGACGGGTCTCCAGTAACTCCCTGTTGTGACAAACTAATTGTTAACGTCTGTTCTATAGCCGGTGAAATCGCGAGTCCCGCCTCATCTAGATCTAAGATAGGTTTTAGTCGTCGTGGCCTAAAGGATAAGACGTCCGGTGCATTCGTGTTGAGCGATGCACTGGTGTTCGAACCCCGCAGGCGGGTACCAATTCATCTAATGAAATACGTACTGAACAAATGTTCACGATTGACTTCCACGGTGACGGAATAATATCGTGTAATAAAAATCAAACCCGCAAAATTGTAATTGCGTAGGACATCTTGTGAGTCTGCACGGGTAGGTACCACCACCCTGCCTATTTCTGCCGTGAAGCAGTAATGCGTTTCCGTTTGAAGAGTGGGACAGCCGTTGTCCCGTCCGGCCGTCTGGTGAAGCGCACCACTACCCGAAGTGATGACCACGACCACTCTGCCAAGAGTGCATATGACTGAGACGAAGAATGGGCTCCAGTTACCACTTAATACCAGATGAGCTGTGAGCTCGTCCAGCCATCTAAGCAATAAATAAAAAAAAGTCCCGCCTCATCTTGATCTAGAATAGGTTTACAGGTTTACCTCTGGCTGGCTAGTAACTCCGCCCGGGTTCGACTGAGCTCTTCACTGACGACTTGCTTGGCTTGTATCTCAGAGTGCAATGAGGACTGCAGCGTGAGTATCTCCATCTTGTCGAGTTTCTGCGAGCGGCGGTTCCTCCAGCCGCCCCCTGCTTGGGATCCCACGGGGCCCCCCACCGGCACCCCCACGGGCCCCCCCACGGCGGGGGACGGGGGGCCGGGCGACGAACGGGATACACTCGCTGCGGTAACAAATCTCGCTAGGTTATCTAAACGTAACAACTGTTTCAACGCTGATCGAAATGCGCGTGACTTGAACGACTGGGTTACATTACAGCATCACAGTTCAAAACATTCCAATGACGTATTGAAATCTTCCTTGTAGATCGTTCGTCTTAACTTAAAACGAAGTCTCTAACTTAGAAAGGATCCGGTCACTCGTCGAACCCAGCGCTTACGACCAAGGACTCGACTAGCGAATTAACCAACATAGACACAGCCCAGTGAGTTTCTCGCCGGATCTTCTCAGTGGGTCGCGTTTCCGATCCGGTGGTAGATTCTGTAAAGCACTGCTTTTACTATGGTCAGTGTTAGCAACACTCCGGCTTGAGCCCCGTGAGCTCACCTACACGGTAGGGCGAAGCTGGAATAGCCTCTCAGGGTTGTCAGCATAGGTAGGAAAAAATAATATCATTTCTTTTAACTCACCGTGCTTGAGGAAGTCTAGTTCTTCGGTCATTTTAGTGGCGAGCGCCTGGAGGTACCCCCGGGCCTCCTTCTCGTCGGCCACCCACCGGATGATGTCCGCTATCTGGGGGACACAATACCGGGACCGATGAAACGATATCAACCCATGTTTTTATAGCTGGTAGAACAGCTTTAGGATTGTCGATAAGAAAAACAAATTGAAAACAGTTTATCGATAAAAAAAAAAAGACGAATTTTTAAGACGTGAAACGAATTTAAGCCTTGAGCGTTGTGAATATGGTTCAATTTCGAACAGCGGGGATTCTAATTACATAGACCAACAAGGGGTGTCACGAATGCTCCCAGACAGAATCTTACATTTGTCTCGAAGCAGTCTTGCGGCCCGACTTGAATGGAACATCGGCTACACAACACAATTGAATATCGGACCTCAATTAGCCCCCGTGAGCAGTGTATGCCAGGTGGGTCAGGGTACCTGTGTCTCCCAGTGCTGCATGGTGTCCCTCTTGGCCCGCAGCTCGTCCAGCTCCAGCTCCATCTGGCGACGCTCCGCCTGCCAGCGCCGACCGTTCTCCGCCATCTGAAATGGAGTTAAGAGATCTGAACTAGGAATTTATATCATTTACTAATAGTCGCCCGGTAATCGAAATTCGACTATAAATAATTGAAATTAAAAGTTTGTACACTATTACGATTCTATTTTCAAAGACTATTATACTTCTATAATCACAAATTTAGCCAATACTATACACTATAGAAAAATATTAATAAAGACAAACAATATTTAATCTATACTCAATTTGACCACAGACTTTAACCCATAACAAAAGTTTGACAATTGACAATAAACAAAGAGTATATATGTGTGTGTTGTGTCAAATACATGGTAGTGTGTGTAATGTTTTTTTTATTGATTTAATGTATTTTTAGGCGTAATTTAAAAAAATATTAACATTCTGCACTCCTTCTCTATATTCTCTATAAGTTTGGGAAATTTCCGCGCAATTTTCGTAAAAAGGGATACAATGTTTTTGCTTCACATATTAATATATAGTGAGTATGAGTTATTGGTGGTAGAACCTCTTGTGCGTCCGCGCGGGTAGATACCATCACCCCGTCTATTTCTGCCGTGAAGCAGTAATGCGTTTCGGTTTGAAGGGTGGGGCAGCCGTTGTAACTATACTGAGACTTTAAAACTTATATCTGAAGGTGGGTGGCGCATTTACATTGTAATGTCTATGGGCTCCAGTAACCACTTAACGCCAGGTGGGCTGTAAGCTCGTCCACCCATATAAGCAATAAAAAAAATTTCGGACCAGACACGCTCCACGTTGCTATCCACAAAGCCGAGGATAGGCAGGAGAGGCGCAGGATAATCCAGGAGAAAGTTGTTTGAGGGGGCCACGATCCTCAGCATTGAGGATTATCGTCGCAAGGAGGAGGATATGAGTTCGCCTTGTAACAAACTTCAGACAAAGCTAACGCGTGTCGGAACACCAACCGACGTTCATTTTAACAAACTCTACCTTCGGATCTTAAAAAAACCACTACATATCTGAAGATCTGAAGGAATATTCTCTGCAAAGTACAAGAGCCAGCGGGTCGCGACTTACGGCGTCCAGGTCCTTGGCCAGCTTCCTGTTCTCGTTGATCAGCATCTGCCTGTCCTCGGAGTCGCTCAGCTGCTCCATACGACGATTCTCCAACTTCTCCTTCGAGGTCTGCAGCTGGAGATTTGTAACAAACTCGATTTTTACCCTCGACTCAAATCATACTGTATTGCATCATGTTATACATTTATCTTTGGCTTATATGAAAAATCCTAACAACTTGGAAAATCTAATAGTTGTAGGTCATATGGAAGGGGGGAAAAGTCGAGGAAGATCGCCAACCAGGTGGACGGACATTGTCAAGGAGGCCACAAACACCAGCGTCCCGGGCGCCATTAAGCAGGCCGAATACAGGCAACATTGGAGGAAGCTGGTGCAAAAACTGGACCAAGGTGGTCACGACTCTCAGTAATGAGGAAGCGACGAAGAAGAAGTATTTGAATGTGTACGCTAAAAATATTTATTATTATCAATATTGTCGTCCATAATTATTATAAAATATTTTTTGTGTATCTCAGGAATGTGGACAAGATAGGACTATTATAACAAATTACATTATTATTTTAGCAACGTTTCGGTCTTTTATTAGACCTTCATCAGGCATCTGAAAATTACACATAATTGATAACCTACAATACAAAAAACAACAATTGTCTAAATTACCATATTTACCATAATATGAATTTAAATAATCCCTATCTTACACTGCACAATTGTCTCAGACATCAGAGACTAATACAAATCTACAAAGCCACTAAATTATTTAATTACTATTTTTGATTCCGGAAACAAAGCCAACACGACACATAAAATTGCTAATTGCGTGACAAAGGTTAGCCCACTATTGAAACTTCAGTACATAGACTATACTTTACAATATTTTATACTAGCGCCAACCTCGCTAAGTATCAAATTCAAATATATATGAAATGAAGGTTATTTTTTTCTATTAGATTTATACTCTTTTAATATATCATTATATAAAATACTTAAATTGTTAGTGTCTGTTCGTTTGTTCACAGTATCATTAGTTTTTATAAAGATAATTTCACTAACATTACGTTTCCACCAATTCATTTCTTTATCCAAGATTTCTATCGTATTAAACTCAAAATTATGATGTTGGTCAAAGTGGTGGGTTGCTAATGCTGTTTTATTCTCTTTTAATATATTAATATTTTTGCAATCATAAATGTGTTGTTTTACTCTATTACTCAAATACTGCCTAGTTTGTCCAACATAGCATAAGTCACACGAACAAGGTATTTTATACACTATTCCAGTTTGTTGTTGTTTATTTACTGGATCTTTTANTGCGCTACGACAGTAGGCGGTGGAGTGCGCTACGACGGTAGGCGGTGGAGTGCGCTACGACATTTGGCGGTGGAGTGCGCTACGACAGAAGGCGGTGGAGTGCGCTACGCCAGTAGGCGGTGGAGTGCGCTACGCCAGTAGGCGGTGGAGTGCGCTACGACAGTAGGCGGTGGAGTGCGCTACGACAGCTACCTCCCGGGTGAGCACGGTGCGCAGCGCGTCCCCCTCGTGCAGCTGCTCGGTGAGCGCGGCCAGCTCGGCGCCGAAGCGGGCCTGCTGCTGCGACAGCGACTCCTTGTACTGCACCTGCCCAACGACGTCTTATATACTGCAGTCTCAGGGGATTTCAAGCAGCGGCTTGGATGTGCCCCTGGCATTGTTCATGTCCATAAAATACTTCTCATTACATTGGCTATATGCTCGTTTACCTACATAAACGAACAAGATTATTGAGCAAGATGATCTATAAGGCATTTTTTTATTGCCTTTGTAGGCAGACGAGCATACGGCCCACCTGATGGTAAGTGGTCACCGTCGCTCATGGACGTCAGCAATGCCAGGGCGGAGCCAAGCCGCTGCCTACCATTAAATAGTCCATGAATGTGCATGTAAGCGCGTGTACTCGGTGCGTACGTAGGTGCGTACGTAGATGCGTATGCGCACGCACATACTTGCGCGGGAACGTGCGTGCGTGCTTAAGAGTGTGTATTTGTGTGTGTAGGTACCTCCAGAGCCTCGACCTCGGCCTGCAGCCGCGCTACGTCGGCGGTCGAGCCCGTCCCTCCCGCGGCGTCCGCGCGCTGTCCGCGGAGGGACTCCTCCCGCAGCTTCCGTTCCTGCGGAATTAAGGACTAGTTCAAGGACAGTGCTCGCGTCTTTACAGTTATTCACAAGCTGCGAATATACTGGAAATTTATTTATGACCACCCGCAATACCTCAAATGTTATTATTAAAATAGACAGTACTACATAACCCCAACAATTATCCATCATCATACTGTACAGAACAAATTGTCGAACCTCTAACAGCTTATAAGAATTTATAAACGGTTTTAAACTATATTTTGACCCGAGATCGAATGCATTAGATCCAATACTCAAAAACGAAAAAAAAAACGATTTCAATTTAAGGCGCGGCCATTTAAAGCCTTGACGATAACTTAGGACTTAGAATAAAGCCTCACTCATTTTTTTTAAATATTATAAAAGGAATAAACGAGATTATTACTTAAACAAATCGAAGCCTTGAGGTATCAGTGATTATGATCGAATTTCGATCATAATCAGATGAATATTTTATTCTTATTTTTTATTGCTTAGATGGGTGGACGAGCTCACAGCCCACCTGGTATTAAGTGGTTACTGAAGCCCATAGACATTTACAACGCAAATGCTGTCACCCACCTTGAGACATAAGTTCTAAGGTCTCAGTATAGTTACAACGGCTGCCCCACCCTTCAAACCGAAACGCATTACTGCTTCACGGCAGAAATAGGCAGGGTGGTGGTGGTACCTACCCGTACGGACTCACAAAACGCCCTACCACCAGTAATTACGCAAATTATATTTTTTGCGAGTTTGATTTTTATTACACGATGTTATTCCTTCACCGTGGAAATCAATCGTGAACATTTGTTGAGTGCGTGTATTTCATTAGAAAAATTGGTACCCGCCTGCGGGATTCGAACACCGGTTCGGTTCATCGCTCAACACGAATGCACCGGACGTCTTATCCGTTAGGCCACGACGTGTCCCACTTTCCTTGGTCTTTTAAACTAGTGAAGCTGATGAAAGCGCCACTATAATCCAATTACCTTGGTGGCTTCAGCGATGGCGGTGTCCAGCCTCGCCTCCAGCTCCCGCCGTCCCTTGTCCGCCCTCCTGATGTCCTGTCGAAGCGCGTCGATCTTCTGCATAGCCACTTCCAACTCTTCTTCCTTATCGCGGACCTTGAAATTTACGACAACGGAATCTCATTCACACAGTTCTGGCGATAAGGCTAATCATTACATAGTATAAAACAAAGTCGCTTTCTCTGTCCCTTATATCTGTCTGTCCCTATATATGCTTAAATCTTTAAAGCTATGCAACGGATTTTGATGCCGTTTTATTTATTAGATAGAGTGATCGAAGAGCAAGGTTTATATGTATAATAACATCCATTAAATAGTGGAGAAATCAATAATAAATCATTACAGTTTCCGAAGCGAAGCGAGGACGGGTCGCTAGTTGTATTGTAAAAAACAGACTTAGAAACCGTGTCTCAAAAAAAAATTGGTATCAGTAGTTATAAATATTTTATGAACAGAATAGATATGAGTAGAAGGGTTATTTTGATAATATCCTGAAAAGCACCCGACACTTTTTTACAATAAAATCATTTTTTCTTACACTATTTTTAATGTAAATTTATTTTCTATTTCTTAGTTGGATTTTCGGTCATCGGCCCATAATAAGTATGCCAAATTTCGAGGTAATCCGACGTTTTGAAGGGAGTCAAAATCACGTTCAAAGATTCCGTTACATACTAACATCATACGTCTGAAGCTAATAAAAGCTTATTAATGAGTTCAAGAGAGAGACAACATTTACGTTGTTCTGACAAATTTTTTTATTGCCCTAACAGGCAGGCGAGCATACAGCCCACCTGATGGTAAGTGGTTACCGTCGTCCATGGGCGTCAGCAATACCAGGGGCAGAGCCAAGCCGCTACCTACTTATGCTGACTATGGATTCCAGTAACCACTTAACACCAGACCGTGAGGTCGTCCAGCCATTAAAAAAACACTCCGTGCTATCCTTAGATTACACAGTAAATCCGATAGGTCCCACCGCCAGGTATTTCTGCAATGAATCAGTCATGCGTTCCAGTTCAGAGGCTGTAATACCACTAACGTCACACAATATCATTGAGATTTAAAGCCTTCGTCAAACAGAACGCGTACTTAGCGCCGCGTACTTAACGTCGCGCTCTTTTCATGTCACACCAATTGACTAGATGAGTCTTAACGCTCCGTGACGCAACGCATTCGCCAAATCATAGTGCCTTTCAATAGCAGTGTGAAAATTTAAAAGTATTAAGAAATCGAGTGATTCAGATGTGGCACTGTATAAGCACGCGTATTTTCTAACTATTTATATCATTTTTTCGGGCATTATCTAGTATTGTGATACACATTCACTCGGACGCTAAAATAAAATTTGTAAAAAATTACAACGCTGGACGTCAAAGCGTCCTAACGCCGCGACAAAGCGCTGCGTACTTCTAGCGCTGGGGATTTGTTTGCGGTATGTTACCATAGTAGTACAACACATCTCGGCGTCAGTTTAGCGCTCTGACGCGCGCTAATTACGCGTTCTGTTTGACGAAGACTTAAATCTATTTTTATCAGAAACCATTTAACATCAAGTACGTAATAGGTTGGGGAAAAAGTCTGCGCATTATAGTACATATGAACTTGTAATAATATCTCTATATTATAAGATCACAGAATGCCCCAAATCGGAATTAGGTAGCTTCAAGGTAAATGAATCCTGATATCATGGGTTAGCTTGACTAACTTAAATTTTATTTTTACCATATTAGCTAATATGTTAGCGTATATATTATATTATGTATATCACTAATCATAATATATGTAATATTCGCAAGTATTTGGCACTATTATAAGCTTGGGCTAGTTCATAGAGTTCGAAGTTTTTAATTAAACTTCAATTAAGTTCACTCCATTTAAATAACTAAGAAGTTTGTTATGTATCAGATTTTGTTTTTGCCCATATTTAAAAATTTTAAATGGCCCTACTAATTTACAATTAGAAAAATGCCGCTTAAACCCAATTAAATAGCCATTCCTCGATAATATTTCAAACTGTTACGAATTAATCTTAATGTACGAGAGAAGCCAGATGAAGTGAGACTGCGTTAGGTCGGTTTTTTTTCCTACCTATGCTGATTGCCTTGAGAGGCTATTTCAGCTTCACCCTAACGTATAAGTGAGCTCACGGGACTCAAACCGGAGCGTTGCTAACACTGACCCTAGCAGGAGCAGTGCTTCACAGAATCTACCACCGGATCGGAAACGCGACCCACTGAGAAGATCCGACGAGAAACTCAGTGAGCTGTGTCTGTGGGTTAAATTTACTCGTCGAGCCCTACGTCGTAAGCGACAGGTTCGACGATAACGATGACCGGTGCTTGAGGTACCTAAAACACCGTTAGTTAATCGGGAGGATCAGTGATGACATGTAACAGTGTTTGATAAAATCTACCACCGGATCGGAAACGCGACCCGATTAATAAATCTGGCTAGCAACTGAGAGTGAGCTGTGGTGTATAGGGGGGGGGACAGCGCGTACGCAGTCCCCACTACCAAAAATTACGCGTCCGAGTTACTCGCATTAGGAGTAATCGCAAGGGTCAACCGTTCCGCAGTGCAATGGAACAGCCTCGCCCTGGGGGAACCGCCTAATTGATCACGGTATCCCCTACGCCAGGTAAGTATGATTTCATTTCGTAATTTTGAGCTTATGTATTTCACCATGTTACATCTCGTCAGCGCGATTCAGAAAGTGATGGAAAAAGTATCGGTGGCATCTAGTGGTGCGAATTGGAACTAAACGGAATTTTTGTTCGGTAGTTACATCAGGTCTGACGTGCGTGGTTCTCTGATTTGTCAATAGATGGCTCTGTTATCAATATATACTCAATCATGCAAATTTAAAAATTTCAAATTTGTTCGTCATTTCGCAATTTTCATAATAATATTCTTGTTTATTTTGCATTTACGGAATGAATGTTCATCATGAATACTTGTATGCGTATCGTGGTTAAGGGATAATAAATACACATAGGGAAATTTAGTGATCGGTAAAACAGTAATACCCGTGGAATATAATAATATATTTTGTTTATATTAAGACAATTTTGATTACCTGCCGCGACAATTTCTGCTTCTGCTGTCTTAACTCGGATAGTCTCTCGGTGACCTCATTATATTCGGCCATGGCGAGCTTGCGTTGTGATATAGCATCCTTCAATTCCTTATCCTATTAAGAATACGATACAGATTCAATAAAACCGACAAAAAAGTTTTATTTTTTTTATTGCATGTATGGGTAGACGAGCTCACAGCCCACCACCTGGTGTTAAGTGGTTAATGGAGCCCATAGACATCTAGAACGTAAATGCGCCATTCACCTTGAGACATGAGTTCTAAGGCCTCAGTATAGTTACAACGGCAGAAATAGGCAGGGTGGTGGTACCTACCCGCGAGGACTAACAAGAGGCCCTAAGCCTAGCCACCAATTTTTAAACACATTGGAAACGATTTTTCCTTGCGCGGCTTTTGAATATCTATAGAAAGAGATAGAAGAATTACTGAACAACAAAGACTTCCAGTTGGCCAGACTGGCCAGTTTAATGAAACACTTTCTCACCTGAAGTTTCAATTTTTCCATAGAGTCAGTCCGCTCTTTGAAGAGCTCCTCCTTCTCGGCGGTCAGAGATTGAACGATCAATTCCAGTTCTCTCAAACGAACCGCCATATCCTGGGGCGTTGACGGAATATCCTGTCAATTGCAAGGAAGATCACATTAGCGAGTGACAGTGCGGTCATTATTTTGTATTTACTTGCATATTTTTTGTATTTATTTGTATTTAATCGTATGTAAGTCTATCTTAAGATTGTATTTATTTTTCACATGTGTATATAAGTATATATTTTTATGTAAATTTATTAAGATATATCACCCCGACTATTATTTGTTTTATTAGCTTACTCTGTACATATGGTGTTAAATAAAGTGTTATATTATTATTATTTTATTGCGGTCATTATTAACGAGTGGCATACAATGCTCTCCGAGTGCAATATAATAATGATTTCAGAATGTTGTTGGGGCTCCCGCGGTACTGTAGCGCATCAGGTACGTTTGTGAATGCACATGCGGATGACTTTTCATTTCATTTCATCAATCATCCGCAAACCGACAGCTTCACTGATGCGTAGGGTTCGGGCGAGTACTAACAATATCCTGATGGTTTATAGGTTATAACCCGAATGTTTTGAGACACTGGGTTCATATACATACCCGTATACCTGGTGCCTCAAAGCAACGCAGATTTTTGAATTAATAGTTTAAATGTTTTAATAATTTTGCTAAGTTTAATTTTAATTTTACTAACATAGTTTTAAGTATAACTCTACTAACAACATAATATGGACTTAAGATGGTCTGAATTATTTATTTCATTTTATTTTATTATCCCGGTAGGAAGCAGGAGCCTGCGTTACTACCGTACCTGCCCGACCGCTGAGACCGCGACCTGTTCGTAGCAACGCAACTGCGCCTCGAGATCAGCGTTCCTCTTGGACAGCGTCGCCAGTTCCTCCTTCAGGGTGATAAGTTCGTCTGTAAGTAGAGCATGCTTGTGCTAATTCTTTTACCAGTGTACTGCGTTCGTCAACCGGCCTATACCGGTAATAGATACCATAAGTCTATTTCTGTTATGAAGTCGTCATCATCAGTCCACAGAAGTTCACTGCTGGAACATAAACCACTCCCAAGCTTTTCTACAATGAGCGTCACCTTACTGTCAGGAAATGGTAACATACAGTTTTACCTTGATAGAGGACTTGATGTCTCAAGGTAGATGACGAAATATACCTTGTGGTGTTTCTGAACTGCGGTGACCGCTTTACGTTAGGTGAGGCGTTAGCTTATTCACCTATCTACATAACGAAATTAAAAGAGCATATATCTTCGTATAGTCAGTGACACAGTTGAAGTGTTGCTGAGCGGGGGCTCTATAGGGCGCGGGGGGTTGGGGAGGGCTGCGTGACGTCACTGACCGCTGGCGGGGTCGTCACCCCCGGCCCGCAGCTCGGCTATGGTCTGCGCCAACAGCGCGTTTTCCCTTTCGAGGGCTTTGACGGCGGCGCGGTCCCCGGCGTTGGACGGCGCCTGCAACAGAGCGTGGGTGTCAGTACAGAAATGTATCGAATTTCTTCATTAGATTCTCACTCATCTTGACAGTACGAAAAATAAATAAATAAATCACACATTTTCCCAATTTAAATTTGGAATTATCTATATATTAATACGTAAAGCAAAAACTTTGTATCCTTTTTTACGAAAATTGCGCGGACGAAGGAGTATGAAATTTTCCACACTTATTGAGAATATAGAGAAGAAGTGCACAATGCTAATATTTTTTTAAAATAATGCATAAAAGATACATTAAATCAATAAAGAAAACATTACACACACTATATACCATGTATTTGACGCACACACGCATGCATACTATTTATTTATTATCAAACTTTTGTTCTTGACGTCTGTGGTCAAATTGAGAATAGATTAAATATTGTTTGTCTTTATTAATATTTTTCTATAGTGTAGTTTTGACGAAATCTGTGATTATATTATATAAGTATAATAATATTTGACAATAGAACCATAATAATGTTTAAACATAAAATTTCGAATGATTAAAGTCGAATTACCTGGCTGGTGGCGTTCTTGGCGGGGCTGAGTGGGCGGGCGGGCGCGCCCAGGTCGCTGAGCGCGGAGCCGCCCGTGTACGTGAAGCCCACGAAGGGCAGGTGCACGCCGGAGAACGCGGCGCTGGCGCGGGGCGGCGGCACCGCCTCCGACAACCTAGCAACAACAACGCAGCTGTCTAGTGGTCATCTGGCAATATCTCACCATCATTTTCATAATAATACTGTTACAAGTGAAACCTTAAAACTCATGTCTCAAGGTGGGTGGCGCATTTACGTTGTAGATGTCTATGGGCTCCGGTAACCTCTCAACACCGGGTAAGCCGTGAGCTGGTCCACCTACTTAAGCAATAAATAAATAAAAAACAGTGTGCTTAGTGCGAGTTTTATAACGTTCTCGATAGCGTAAAAGTTAACCCAATTTAGTATGCAGTTGGAACAGCGCCCCTAGCGGCAAACGTACGCAAACGATCCCATTCCATACAAATATGAGTTAGCTTTTACGCTATCGAGAAAGTTAAAAAACTCGCACTAAGCACACAGCTCATAAAAGGCGCCAGCTATCAAGTGTTCGATAAAATTTTACTTATTCATAACAATTTCTTGAGTCCTACCTAGTACAAAACTGTAAGGTCCCATAAACATGACGTGAGGTTATTGAAATTAACGCATTACCCACGTCACAACAGTAGGGGTTCCCGCGAGCCCCTAGCGGTCCCCCGGACGACCCTCACCTGACGTCAGTGTCGTCCACGTCGAAGTTGGAGGTGTCCGTGGGGCTGGACACGTCCGGCACGAAGGGGGCCTGCACCTCGCGCACCGTCTCCCACTCCACGCCGCCGAACCAGGGGTGGCTCTGCACCGGAAACCGAACATACATATTCCTATACATGAGCGAGGCAAGTGGAACAATCAGAGGTGTCGCTTGGGAGCCGGTTCCTCGCGTGCTCTGTCTCCGCATCAGCAGCCTCGGCGGGTGCCACCTCCCCGCCCTCCATATCGGGACGCGTGACCACTTCAACGTATGATTCAATAATGAATATGCCGTGGATTAACGAAATAAGTAATTTATAACATAAGTAATTATACATTGTTTTGATTATTATTTGAAACTAGTTCACTGGTAGTCGAAATTCGACTATAATAAAAAATTTTTTATTGCTTAGATGGGTAGACGAGTTCACACCTGGTGTTAAGTGGTTACTGAAGCCCATAGACATCTACAACGTAAATGCCGCCACCCTGAGACATGACTTCTAAGATCCAGTATAGTTACAACGGCTGCCCCACCCTTCAAACCGACACGCATTACTGCTTCACGGCAGAAATAGGCAGGGTGATACCTACTCGCGCGGACTCACGCAAGCTCCTACCATCAGTAACAATTTTGATGAGTTTCGATTTTTGTATTACGTCAAAGTCATTCGTGAGCATACCAGCTATTTTGAAATATTTATAAGGTGATTTAGTCCGATGAGTATTATAGTTTTATATTGTTCAAATTCAAATTCAAAATCATTAATTTCAACTTAGATGTCAGCATAAAACACTTGTTGAATGTCAAAATATAAATAACAATGTTAACTCTACCACCGGTTAAAAAAAAAAGTCACAGTCCTGAGAAGAACCGGCGAAACAAACTCAGCGGGCTTTTTTTTTTTCTCAAATATTTTAATTTTTTTTAATGAGTAAAAATATTTACAATAGACGAAGTTGATGTACAAAATAATATGTGGGTATTGTGTTGCTTTTGTAACTTAAATTTTTAAATTTCTCTTCTCTGTTCACTTTTTACCTATATGTGATTTTAATTGTGGAAACATATTTAGTTATTGTTTTAGCTATTTTTTTACATAATATTATATGTTTATATTGTACTGTTTGTTTCTCAAATAAATAAATAAATACCAGGTACGTATTAGGTTAGAACAGCGGTCGGGGAACCAGAGTAAATTACCCAAATGGGGTAAAATGACATTTTGGGGGGTAAAAATGAAACTTTTGTGAGTAAAAAGTACATATTGAAGTGAAACTTCTTTAAAATCGTTAAATTTTTACTGATTGTTTTCTTTTCAAAATAATCATTGGGGTTTTAATATGAAAGATGCTAAAAAGAAGCGATTTCGTTTTTTTTTTGTTCCTCGCCATGGGGTAATATCAACTTACACAACAATATTTTGGGGTAATAAAATTAAAAAGTTCCCAGACTGCTGGGTTACAACAACTGGTCCCAGCCCGCGGGATGTGATCATAGCTGGATGCGAGCGCTTACCTTAAAGTCTTGGAGTCCGTTCTTGCCGAGTCTGTTCTCCGACCCGCAGATCAACCTTCGAATGAGATCCTGGGCTTCTTCAGACACCTGAAGGCGGTAAGTAGATTTGATTATAGATTTTTATAGATTTGATAGATAGATTTTTTACGGCCGTCTATTGTAGTGGTAAGTGACATGGTCACTACACAAGGGGGTCGCGGGTTCGAATTCCGCCAAGGGAAGATATTTGTATGATAAATTTAAAAAAATGTCTTTTCCAGGGTTATGGATGTATATTATATATATATATGTATGTGTATAATAAAAATCTTATATTTATTTCTGTTATCTGGTACCTGTAACACAAGTTCTTTACGAACTTATCACGGGACCAGTTAACGTGGCGTGATGGCTAGTAAAATATTTATTTATTTATACTATATTATCGATCAAAAAACAAAACTCATATAAAAAGAAATGTTGCAGAAATACTCCATTAATTTGTTTAGTAATTGGTACCAGCCGTATTTGAACAAGCAATGTAAAGTGTACAAAAAACGTGCCGAGGTCGTGTCTTTAAAGCTACTAATTGTACCCGCCAATCTTTTCGTATCCATTACGGATTAATAATGTGGATTTATTTAAAAAACTGCATATATTTGGATGAAAGAACTTTTTTTGTGTACTATATTATACTTTATTATGCAGTCAAAATCTGTTATAACGACATCGAAGGGACTGCTCATATTCAGTCGTAAAAACCGATAGTCGCAACAACCGGTGATGTTTAATGTGTATCGTGCAAGTACAAACAAATCGATAGGGAATTATTGAAAAATATATTTGCATAATACGCGATTTTTCTTCAATATTAATTACTTTTTTTTTTCTTTGCGAAATTTTGAAAGTTTCACGAATAACTCCACAAAGTTTTGGTGCGTCTTGTGTATAGATAAGTAACAAACTAACTGAAGAGATATGAAGAAGTGGGCTTTGACTACCGCATGCACGTGTTTTGTTTCTAAGAATTAGAAAAGACCCTACACTAAACTAAATCCTATTGTTTTCTTTCCTGATTTTAATAGCCATTGAAGACAAAGGTGGATATACCTATTCAAATTGTTTACAATACAGTTTAGCCGGTCGTTCTAACAGATCTAATTCTCCGAAATATTATTTATTTATTTATAACTTCTTATACTATAAAGTATAAAGGCGGACTTAATGCCATAGGCATTCTCTAACAGTCTACCTTAGGGGAGTGCAGAGATGAAGCTTGGTAGGTGTAGTGTCAAGGTGATATTATTGAAACATAATAATATGTGTATATATAACATACATAATATTTATAGATACAAATACTCGTACTTAAATAAATACATATACATAAATATATAGATATACATAAATATATACATATACGTATCATAAATATATACATATAAAAACATACATAAACAAATATTATCAATTAGATGATTAGATATTATCAATATTAGTTAAATGTGGTCGTTTTATGAGGTATGTCGTTATTACCAATGTCGTAGAAAGCAATATTTTTAATAAGGCGGTCATATGGCATTCAGGCCGGGACCTTTGTTCTAGGTTATTATAACCGGCATGTTGTATTAAACGATGTCGCAGTAAACGGTTTTGACTGTATATATATTATGTGAGGTGGGTAATATCTATTTTATATAATAAATATGCCACCATATGGACATGCGTAGTCTAGTGAAAGTGTTCGTTTTTTTATTGTTTAGATGGGTCGACGAGCTCACAGCCCACCTGGTGTTAAGTGCTTACTGGAGCCCATAGACTTCTACAACACAAATACGCTACCCACCTTGAGATATAAGTTCTAAGGTCTCAGTATAGTTACAACGGCAGATACAGGCAGGGTGGTGGTACCTACCCGCGCATGCATAATGTTACTTATCGCTAGAGAGTGAGTGGGGTGTCGGACCTGTGCGGCGTGGTCGTCGGGCGGCGGACACTGGAAGGACCTGGAGTGGTTCATGATCTTGCCGTAGGTCTCCACCAGCGACTCCGCGTAGAACGGGGTCTCGCCGAACAGCATCTCGTACATGCACACTCCTGGAACGTACATCTGCAGGGTGAGCCGACGACACTCACAACTAGAGGTCGGAGTGGGTAGATTGATTTAAGGTCCTTGACGTCAAACGTTAAGGATAATATGGATATGCCTCCAAAATACTGGAACTTCATATTTATTGTGATATCGTCTTCTCGTATTAAAACTGTATAATCTCAAAACTTACTAATTTTACAGGAGAGTGTTACCTTCAACAGTGCAGTAACCGGATTCCGGAGGGACCAATTGTCATTTTAATTGTTTTAATTATTCAACTGATGAAAAAAGGTTTAACATGTGATATTTTTAATACATATTAATCATCTTAGCAACATTTATCTTTTACAAGTTACATTATCTGTCTTTTACATTATGATAAAATTATGTATTAATTTTGTTAATAGTAGTCAAAATATATTTTGTAAACTAAAAAACTAAACTACGCTCTTTTGACAGTATTTCGGGTTAAAGATATTCTTTATTCTCAAAAGAATTACATAAATTCACTTAAATGAGAACATTAAAATAGTTATAATTAATTCAGATCGTGCAGTACATGACAATAATTTATAGTAACAACATGCGGTGCTATGACAATATATTTAACAAAAACTATAAAGATTGTTATTTTCTTAAAATGTATAAACAGGGTAGATTACCACAGCAGATCGCCTCAACCAGCCGCCGGCCGCTCGGCGGCGGGTAGATATTGGCGCCACAAGGAGCTAGTTCGCATGGATGTGGCATTGGTAAAATGTTTGCAGGTTGTTAGTTTCGTTGTTTTTTCATTTCATTTTTTAACTACTTATCGATAGACTTCAGGACGCACTTGAGCTCATCAAACTTTCCCGGCTTAACAATGCTGCGTACATATTTATGAAAAGAATACTGGTGATACCAAATGATTCCGCATATTAACTCTATTTCGAATATTGTAGGAAATTGTATTGTAATTTTAATGCGAAAAGACGATATTTGTTCAGGAATTTTTAAATTACCATGTCCATATTATAATATCTTGACGCAAGTATATAAAATCAATCTACCTACTCCGACCACTGCTCATAACATAGTTTTAATACCAGTTCTCGGCAATCAAAGTTATAAGTCCCCTTTTTTTTTTATAGTAGACAATCCTAATTTTACTTTAAATTTTTACACTAAACTTTACTATAGTTAGAAATTTACAGGAAATCAATATCAGGTAAGTACGGGGTCTACCCAACACGGAAAAATATGGCAAGGGGTCTACGACACAAAAAAGTTTGGGGAACTCTGCGTTAGAATCACCATATTAAAGTGCTGTATTTTTTTATTACCCTTGTAGGCAGACGAGAGTACTGTTACATATGCCCCTCAATAATAACGCAATATAAATAATAATGCAGACTAATGACAGACAGAATAATAAGACACTCTTGAATGTATCGTCTCTATATAGACGATTTATTACTAACGCGCGGCAGAACAGAATTGGCTTGAGCAGCGGAAACACACGTCGTTTGTACTATTTCTTTTATAAAAGACTAGCGACCCGCCCTCGCTTGGCTTCGGAAACATGAAATTTTATTATTGATTATTTACGACATCACATTAGAAACCTCAAAAATAACAGTATTTCTCCACTATTTAATGAATGTTATTATACATATCGACGCTTGAAGGGCGAATGTGACTAAGCGACAATGCGTGAACTTTACAGTAGACTAATTTAAAGTTGAAATACCTGAAAACAAAATTTATTTTAACGAATCTAGCTGTAGTAGAATCTAGCTAGTAGCTGTAGGATTGAAATGATTTGAATAGACCTAGAAATATATTTTTTTTGCGCATCGAATGTGGCTATTGCCTATCATTTATGTACAAAGCAGTTATTGTCGCTTAGTCACGTTTGCCTTTCAAGCGTCGATATAAAACTTCCTCTTCAATCACTTTATCTATTAAAAAAAACCGCATCAAAATCCGTTGCGTAGTTTTAAAGATTTAAGCATACATAGGGATATAGGGACAGAGAAAGCGACTTTGTTTTATACTATATAGTGAAAATCAGTGTCAGTCAGTTTCCTTTTTTTAAAAGCGCTTCTGGATCCACCCCGTAACGTACGGCCCACCTGATGGTGAGTGGTTACCGTCGCGACTTCAGCAATCGCAGGGGCAGAATCAGGCCTATCCCTTCCGTTTTATATTATTGAATTCCCCACAAGTTCCCAGCTCTGTGTCTCGCTACGCTCTCACTCACCCAAGGACCACCAGTCGCACTCCGGGCCGTACCTGCCCTGCCCATCCTCCATGGCCTGCAACAGGACCACAATACAAATCAAATCAAAAAAAAATTATTCAACATAAATGAAAGTACATACTTGTTGAACGTCAAAAGAATTACCGCCAATTCACAAGAACTAGCCACCGTCCTGAGAAGAATTGGCAAGAAACTCAGCAGGCATGTTTTTTTTTATTTTAAATATTAGATTTTTTATTTAAATTTAGTTTTTTTTTTAATATTAGATTTTTTTTAAATATTCATTTTTACAATGAGTATTTTAACGTAACAATTATTGCAATATTGAAATGCCCGGAGCGACCAACTCATTCTCACTTTGTGAATTCTTCTAGATAATCATTGACTTTATAATAAGTCTTTATAGTAAGACTTTATAGTAGTCTATTACAAAATTTGACAAGTTTTTTTTTTCTTAATGTATTTATAATTGTTGTATACGCACTCTTAATATTTCCGGTGAAATGTAATCCGGCGTGCCGACAGCCACGTTGCTTTGTACCTGGAAAATTTAAATCGAACATAAATTATTTCATTATTACTAACATAGATTATAAGTAATACCTACTATTATTACTACTAGTACTAGTACATTAATAATAGTAAGTAATACTAACAAAATGTATGGTTTCCTTACTGAAATAAGCATTTAATAATAATTATTAATAATAATTTAAAAAAAAAATTTTTTAATACTTTTAAAAAAAAAATTATCTTATAAGATTTTAAATAAATATAAATAGATAATAATAAATACATTTCTAGTTGGTTACATTATACAGGGTGTGGTCTCTCAGTGCAGAGACACAGCGGATACTTTTATTTTCAAGTGTAACCTTCTTTAGCAGCGACGTGATTTGAAACTCGATGGAATAGACATCCACCCAACGTATACACACTTACAAGTTTTACCTCGCGAGAGACATCTATAATATACTAGCTGACCCGGCAAACATTGTTTTGCCATATATAAGATTTCTAGGGAATTTCTAGTGTAGAAAAAAACTAACTTATTGTAAGTGTGTAAGGATGTGGTAAATGAGTGAAAGAGGTATGTAGTGCTGTGAACTATGAGGGAATATATAATAAAAATAACAAAACCTCATTCAACCACATAATACCTCATTATAACAAAAAAAAATGTCCATATAAAAAAAAATATGTTAAGGGTGGACAACCCTAATCACTTAGGGGTATGAAAAATAGATAGTAGCCGATTCTCAGGCTTACTGAATATGCATAAAAAATTTCATGAGAATCGGTCAAGCGGTTTCGGAGGAGTATGGGAACGAACATTGTGACACGAGAATTTTATATATTAGATTATGCATAACAAAAAAGGTACTGAAACTTTCAATGCGGTTGTTTTGTTTTTTGGTACCATACCTCTTCGAAAGAGTCCAAAATAAGTTTATCTCTCAGTGAATTTCCAGGCGTGAACTATTCTGGCGTTATGTGCCGGAATAAAACATTAAGAAACTTTTAATTCACGCATCCGAGCAATAGCTTAAATATAATGTTTCAGGGTAGTTGCCGAAATTCATGATGTGATGTCTATGAGCTCCTGTAACCACTTAACACCGGGTGGGCCGCGAGATCGTTTCCCTCTCATCTCCATACCAAACAGTTTCAACCAATGGGTGCATGTAATACATCTAGCTATACCACAACGAGGTGTGGTCCGGTGTCACTAGTCTAACAACCCAAGTCTAATCAGGTCGGTACCTTCCCATCATCGCCGAGCCTCAGACAGGATCCGAAGTCCGCCAGCCTGATGTGACCGCTTGCATCCAATAGAACGTTGTCCGGCTTGATATCTCTGCAAAAAGAAAAAAATATTTCTAATTCAAACTTTTTTATTTATTGCTTAGATGTGTGGACGAGCTCACGGCCCACCTGGTGTTAAGTGGTTACTGGAGCCCATAGACATCTACAACGTAAATGCGCCACACACCTTGAGATATAAGTTCTAAGGTCTCAGTATAGTTACAACGGCTGCCCCGCCCTCAAACCGAAACGCATTACTGCTTCACGGCAGAAATAGGCAGGGCGGTGGTACCTACCCGCGCGGACTCACAAGAGGTACTACCACCAGTGATTACGCAAATTATAATTTTGCGGGTTTGATTTTTATTACACGCTGTTATTCCTTAACTGTGGAAGTCAATCGTGAACATTTGTTGAGTACGTATTTCATCGTATAAGTGGGTAGTAATAGTAGTAGTAGTAGTATCTACTCACCTGTGCACGTATCGCAGCTCGTGCACGCTCTGGATGGCCAGCACCATCTCGGCGATGTAGAACTTGGCCATGTCCTCCGGGAGCCGGTCCTCGAACTTGGACAGCAACGTGAGCAGGTCCCCGCCGCAGTAGTAGTCCATCACGAGGTACTGAAAGTCGAAACGCGTGACCTCTGTGCGACCCCCTAGCTTTTTTTTTAAATTGAAACTTCTTTAGAACCGTTGTGATGTGATTTCAAACGCGATGAAACGAAATGAAATGAAACGAAAAAAAATAAGTGGGCCGTGATTGGCTTGCCGAAGCGGCTCCGAGCGGCGCCGACAAATCACGAAGCGCTCCACACGGTCTCGCGTCCCCGACTAGTTCAGTGTGTTTTTGACGTCCGTGCACACTGTCGTGGCTCTCGGAGCGCCCTCAGATACTTTTATTTCTATTTCGTCTGTTATCAACAGATGTCGCTGCACGTAAATTCAACAATTCCTGAATCGCGGTACGAGATGTTACAAAGTTGATAGACATTCTTTCCATTGCATTGCAAAGTGGTTAACCCTTGCGATTTTTTTTTTTATAGGTCTTACTTCTACCGTGTGTGACTTGCAGACACACACGTTTTGTATTCATGATTGAAAGATTACTGGTGACCCGGAGGCCTTTCCAGTTTCACCAGGTCAGGTGGGCGAAGAAAGGCTCAGCCAGGAGGGGTGAGATTTGCTAACACATGCCCGTGAGCCTCCGAAGGAGATCTAACAACTCAAGAGCAACTGCTTCGCGAATGAATCTACTACCGGATCGAAATCGCGACCCGCTGAGAAGATCCGGCGAGAAACTCAGCAGGCAAATGCACGGGTTAGGTTGCACGTCGACCTCTTTGTCGAGTTCGACGAGTAGCGTTACCAGGGTTCCTCAGCCTGCTCCTAGTGTCAGAGCTGAAGGTATCTAATGCAAGAGTTATTTGATCTGATGGACCCGTAAGGACGAAGCTAGTCCCCCAGCCCACCTGATATCTCACATCGTAAATAATCAGGGAAATGTAATTTAAAACTCTGAACCGGTCTACAAATTTTTTCTTCTTCTTCTTCTTATCAGCCTACAGAGGTCTACTGCTGAACATAGACCTCCCCCAGTATTGTCTACAAATTTAAATGCTTTTATTATCTGATACTGTTCAGAATATTAGTTCCAGGCTATAAAATTATTGGTATCGTAATCGGCCACGACGCGTGATTTAGTGTTCAATATTTAATATGGTACTTCTAAAATTCGGTGACGATGATGTTGAAGGTTTCCGTGAGATAGGCAATAATAAATATATCTATATATCTGCCAGTACCAGTCCCATGCCTGGATAAGAAAAGAGGAGGGTTGAGTGGTATTTTTTTTTTTTTTTTTTTTTTTCTACAACGTAAATGCGCCACCCACCTTGAGATATAAGTTCTAAGGTCTCAATTATAGTTACAACGGCTGCCCCACCCTTCAAACCGAAACGCATTACTGCTTCACGGCAGAAATAGGCAGGGTGGTGGTACCTACCCGTGCGGACTCACAAGAGGTCCTACCACCAGTAGTGGTATTTCGACCTTTCCACTGTAATACAGTCAACGCCGAATATCTGGAGGTGGTTAATCAACCGGACCCAAATAAGGCTTCAGCGGCCTCGAAGAACTAAATCTCTTCCAAAAGCACTGCCCTGGAAGGACGCGGGACCCCAACATGTGTATTTTCCCAAGAAAGCCTCATGAGGCCACGACCCTCAGCATGAGGATTATCGACACAAGGAGGAGGATATATATATATATATATGTTTACCAGATTGTGTTCATCTTGGAAAGCGTAGTGTAGATTCGTGATCCATCTCCTGTCGCCGAAAACTAAGACGTCTCTTTCTTCTTGAAAACACGCCGTTTCCGCCCTCTGTAATGACACACGATAAGATCATTATCATCACATAAGATACTAGCTGTACCCGTCCGCTTCGCTGGGCATTTAAAATTAACATTATTATTTCTCACCCCCACAGAGATTCTCATCATTAACGCCCCCGCAACTGGTGTAGGGAGTCCAACACTCATATAAATATTCTAGCCTATCCATTAAGTACATGTATTTTCTACATGGATACCAAGTTTCAAGTCAATCGGATGCATGGTTCAGTAGTTATAACGGAACATCCGTTAAAACCACTGTAGATTTATATATTAGTATAGAAGTATAGATAGGAAGAGTATGCCTACAGACGCCCCTGCCGACGCAATATGCGCAGAACAATGAGCAATAGACGGAGACGTGTGTCTTAGGATAGATGTCACTTGAGGATTGCGGACTGAGGATCTTCTCAGTGGGTCGCGATTCCGATCCGGTAGTAGATTTAGCGAAGCACTGCTCTTGCTTATTTTTTATTACGTATACGGATGGACGAGCTCACAGCTCACCTGGTGTTAGTGGTTACCGGAGCCCATAGGCATCTGCAGCGTAGATGCCGCCACCCACCCTGAGATATGAGCTTTAAGGTCTCAGTATAGTTACAACGGCTGCCCCACCCTTCAAACCCAAACGCATTACTGCTTCACGGCAGACATAGGTGGGGTGGTGGTACCTACCCCATGCGGACTCACAAGAGATCCTACCACCAGTAAATTCCGATACTATTATTCAAAATGTTAAATTTTCGATTAGCCTAATATCGATAGCCGACCTTATATCCTTAACATAAAGGTGTTTTGTGTGCGACCGTGTCACGTACCTTCAACATCTCCCATTTGTTTAATATCTTCATGGCGTACACCCTGTCGCCGGCCGCGGCGGCGCCGGGAGCACCACCGTCGCCACCCTGATACAATGAAAAACAAAACTTAAATCCACTACAAATAGAGTGTATTATCGGTTGACACAGATGTATATATCATACATATCTACCACAATCCAGTGTATAAGAAGTTCCAGCGTGCTTAGTGCGAGTTTTTTAACGTTCTCGATAGCGCAAAAGTTAACTCAAATTTGTATGGATTTGGAACAGCGCCCCTAGCGGCAAACGTAGGCGAACGTTTCAACTCCATACAAATTTGAGTTAACTTTTACGCTATCGAGAACGTTAAAAAACTCGCACTAAGCACATAGATTAAAGAACTAGATTAGCGTTATACCATTAAAGCTTCTTTCACTCCCCCCAACTAGGTGACCTTAAATATTTTCATGTCCCAAGTCATGAGACCACAAATATATATCGAGAGATGAAAGAAAGGCTATTTGGTTTAAGCACCATTATTGTAAATTTACGGGAGAGAGTCATTTAAAGTTTAAAATTTGTAAAAAATATCATAACAAAAAAAACACTTCTTCAACTATTCGAATGTAAACATAATTGAAGTTCAATTAAAAACATCCAACTGTTGATGCTAATACTAAATAAAGCGCACCTTTACGTACAAAGACTAAGCGTAATAAGCGAAATATCTTTTAAACCATAGCCTTTCATCACTGAATATGAAAAAAAAAACCGAACCATTGGTTTCTCTGCACTAGTCGCGCATTAATTAAACGGGCAAAATCGAAAACAAGACATTTAACCATTTCCTCCAAGCACCGCGATTATATAAAATAATGAAGACATAAATCAACTTGTTTTTAACGGATTTTATGACCTGGTAACTAAGACCTTTAGGTCAAGGCTTATTTTAATTTATATTCTTATTTTTATGAAAAATGATGATATGAAGTGAAATGAAATGAGATGAGACACATAAATCAACTTAAGTTGTAATATTTTAAAGTAATTTTTACTACATTGCGTAGTGTGTTTCGCAAAGTTCCTCTTTGTCCCACACGAAGCGGAAATAGGTTAGATCATCAACGACTTGTGACGTATATCCGGGGCCCACCTGTATGAAGGACGCTCGCACCACGCACACCTCACCGAAGGCGCCGCGCCCTATAACCTTCACCAGCTCGAAGTCGTCCCTTGACAATCGCAGACGTTTTAAAGCTGTCGCCACCGGTTTCACTGTAATTAAAACAAAAATATCATCGCTAACGCTATCAACGATCAATACGTACTGGTGTTAGGACCTCCTGTTAGTCCGCACGGGTAGGTACCACCGCCCTGCCTATTTCTGCCGTGAAGCAGTAATGCGTTTCGGTTTGAAGGGTGGGGCAGCCGTTGTAACAATACTGAGATCTCAGAACTTATATCTCAAGGTGGGTGGCGCATTTACGTTGTAGATATCCACGGGGCTCTAGTAACCACGTAACACCAGGTGGGCTGTGAGCTCGTCAACCCATACAAGCAATAATAAATAAAAAGTTCTCTTTCGTGAATGAACCGGATCTTACAAATATTTTTCAGTGGGTCGCGATTCCGATCCGGTGGTAGATTCAGCGAAGCACTGCTCTTGCTAGGGCTAGTGTTAGCAAATTCTCTCAGGGTGAGCCCGTGAACTCACCTACCCGTCCGGGCGTAGCTGAAATAGCCTCTTAGGCTACTAGTGAATAGGTAAAGAGAAATGAAATACAAATTTGCACACACCAAAATGAATTGCGAACGAACGCGCAATGTATCACAAAACAAACAGTTTTAATTAATAAATTAAAGCTCATTTTAATTCTTAAGACAATTAAGGTGAAATTCACTATCACAATTCATTTATTAGCTTTCTTTAGGTTATCCGACTTAGTCTTAACCATCGCTTTACTTCATATAGAACTCTTGTCATCTATGTTACGCTTGTATTTCGACAATGCCTAAAATTATTCCAGAACATTCAAGGAATTTTCAGTATGAAAATAAATGAAATATGATGAAATGATATGGGATGATCAGTAAAATTGTGGTCATTTTTCCACCTTTTGGAGGATCCCGAGAAGTTACCTTCAGCGGCTTTGTTTCATTTTCCCATATTTGTGCACTTTCGCAGATACCAAACAGTTAATAAACCACCGTTAATACACATTTAAACCTGAAGAAACACTAAATAGACAAAATAAAACAAATCACACAACTTCACTCCTCGCGTTCCCGCCAAAGAGTCATCGGATAAACTTACTCATCACTAACCTACAGTTTCCAGAGTTACGAGAATTTAGACATAACACTATTAAATAAAGAATTAACAATTAAAATTCATAAGGGAATAGTTGTTTGTCCTCACCATAGTGGATAAAATCGGCTACTGCCTTTTCTCTTCTGAGGGAACTGTTACAGCATTCGTCGTACAAGACCAAGAGGACGTCCAGCAGGGTCTCGACGCTTAACGTGTGAGCTCTCGGACCTTGGAGACGGCGGGACGTGAACATGGACTCGATCTGCTTAAGACGCTTTATACCTACCACTGAAATAAGAAAAGAAAAAAAATTTTTTTTAATTATCCAGCAACAACAATAACAATATCAAAACAATTCCGACACGGTCATCTGGCCTCAAATTAAGATTCCCTGTGTTATGGGTACCAGACTGACATACATAATTATCTAAGCAGGTTTAAATATATACATCTACTAGCTGACCCGGCAGACTTCGTAGTGCCCAAATCGATAAATAAAAGACCTAAACTTTTTTATATATCTTCAGTGATCTCTATATCGTCAGTATAGCTGAAAATCAGTTCTCAATAATGTTTTTTTTTTATTGTAGTATTTTTATGTACTCACTGACAGTGCCGCGCGACTTAACCCGCCTTAAATTTTACAATTCAGAAATAATTATCCGTAAATCGATTTGTAAATCGAATTGAACTTGGATAAAAAAAAAAGATTGCATGGAGCCATATAACAAGAAATTAAAAAAAAGTTTCTTCCGCCTTTTGCTTCTCATGACGCATGGTATTTTTTAATTAACAAGTTTGTAGATCTATAATAAGTAGTGTTGTGTTCCTCAAAGTTGGCAACAACTGGCTTGGAATAGTTAGTTAGCTAATTATGGTCCAGTAGAGGTTTTATTTTTCCTCTACCTATTCACTGGTAGCTTAAGGAGCTATTCTAGCTTCTCGCGGATGGGTTAGGCGAGCTCACGGACTCAATCTGAGAGAATTTGCTTACACTGCCTAGCAAATATCAAGTAATCTATACTAATATATAAATCTACAGTGGTTTTTACGGATGTTCCGTTATAACTACTAAAACATTCATCCGATTGACTTGAAACTTGGTATCCATGTAGAAAATACATGTACTTAATGGATAGGCTAATATTTATATGAATGTTGGACTCCCTAATAATAATGACCATAAATAATAATGTTAATTTTAAATGTCCAGTGAAGCGGGCCAGTACGGCTAGTAATATTATATTTTTACGGTTATGTATGTGACCAAATTAGGATTAGCTATGTAAAAATCGGGCTACCTTATTTATAGATGAGTATATGATTAATTGTTTACAATAACATTTGAAGAACAGGAGTTAATTGTTTATTAATTAAGGTAAATGATTTTCCTTGATGTTAGTTTACGTATTTATTAATTAAAACATTTATCATCATATCATAACAATATATATATACGTATTATGTATATATTTTTTAATTAATAATATGTAATAATAATAATAACAATAACAGAACCAATCGCACATGGTCATCTGGCCTCAAATTAGGATTCCCTGTGTTATGGGTACCAGACTGACATACATACTTATCTAAACAGGTTTAAATATATACATCTATAGATAATAAGCACTCAGAAAAAGAGCAAACAAATATGTTCTTCACAAAAATGTTTGTCCGATGTGGGAATCGAACCTAGGACCCTAGTCAGGAATGGCCAACTACTGTCACCGAGTCAATCCAATGACTATTGCTTGGTTTTCCACCCAGTACTTCTGTCCAGAAGGGTAGGGTAGCTATACTATAATACTGTTGAGGCTAAGCTTCATGTCTAAAGGCGACTATTTCCCACAAACGCCAATACCTAACCATTAGGCATTTGATTTAGGAAAATCGCTACCTTGATACAAGTACCCCGGGGCGTTAGACTCTTTCTTGTGCATCGAATTCCACCACCAACATCTTGAGACATGAGGTCCAAACATCACTATACGATAACGGCTCTCTCCCTATGATCGAAGCTCATTATTGGTTCGCGGCAGAAATAGGCTAAATAGCGTTCGTTGCCTGTCCTACGAAGCCACATTACTTTAAACGACTTCACTTTTCGTCTTCAACTCTTTAAGAGATTTATTTTAAATCTCATGCTTAATACTCGGGTTTATTTATTCTCATTTGATTGCCCACTGAGTTTCTCGGATATTCTCAGTGGGTCACGTTTCCGATCCGATGGTAGATTCTGCGAAGCACTGCTCTTGCTAAATTTTTTATTCATTGCTTAGATGGGTGGACGAGCTCACAGCCCACCTGGTGTTAAGTGGTTACCGGAGCCCATAGACATCTACAACGTAAATGCGCCACCCACCTTGAGATATAATTTCTAAGGTCTCAGTATAGTTACAACGGCTGCCCCACCCTTCAAACCGAAACGCATTACTGTTTCACGACAGAAATAGGCAGGGCGGTGGTACCTACCCGTGCGGACTCACAAGAGGCCCTACCACCAGTAAAAATGTCGCTAGTTAAGGGCCACATATACGGAATGATCGATAGTGTATGTGAAGATAGTGTATCAGAAACGACAGATCGTACAGACGGATCGTTCTGTATATGGGGTGCTTTAGACTCAGGCATCTGTCAAATATTTCGCGCTCTACGAAGCGTACCCGCCTACGTACTCTATAATAATAGCAACATAGGGTTGTGCCATAATTGGGGGGGCTTAAACGACAAAGGGAAGATCTTCCAACGAGCGGGTGATATTGCTCGGTAGACCGACGGTCCGAATGTTGTTGTTCGGAACTTGTATATATGCGAGCTCATCTTGAAAATGTCGTAAGCGCGATTCAGGCATATGTCAAATATCTTGTGTTCTGTGATGGCTACCTATCAAACGAATAATAAACGAACTTTGCTATATAAGGTGTTGTGCAGTGAATCAGTACTAGCAAATGTTAATTAAAATTCCAACTATTTTTCAAACGTACACATTGTACTCGACGGCGTTGCACGTTTTTCTGTCGTACGAACGCTTTATTAAATAGTAACGTTAAATTTTTAGCACGCTTTTATTAGCTTGACCCGTATCTATCTATACTAGAGGTCCCGCAGTAGTCGAAATTCGACTATAATTAATTGGAATTGTAAGTTTGTACACTATTATGATTGTGTTTTATACTTCTATAATCACAAATTTCGCCAAGACTACACTATAAAAAATATTAACAAAGACAAACAATATTTAATCTACTCTCAATTTGACAACAGACGTCAAGAACAAAAGTTGGACAAAGTAAATAGTATGCATGCGTGTGTGCGTCAAATACATGGTATGTAGTGTGTTTAATGTTTTCTTTAATGATTTAATGTATCTTTCATGCATTATTTTAAAAATATATTAGCATTGTGCACTTCTTCTCTATATTCTCTATAGGTGTGGAAAATTTCATATTCCTCCGTCCGCGCAATTTTCGTAAAAAGGGATACAAAGTTTTGGCTTCACGTATTAATATATAGATATAAAGGACAATTTCAACATAATTTCCACAGGTTCTGAAACCTCCGATTGCCTTGAAAACTTGCATGAGTATCAATAAAGGCCAGTTGATAATATAAAAATAAATTTAGTATGTACTCTGACTGAATATGCTGGGCAGATTCTACAGGAATACAATTACTTTTTTAACTATTGTAGACATCAAAAAAATTATATTTAAAGTTCTCCATATTACACGGGTATCAACAAAACCATGGCAGCAAATCTTATTATGACNGATTGCCTTGAAAACTTGCATGAGTATCAATAAAGGCCAGTTGATAATATAAAAATAAATTTAGTATGTACTCTGACTGAATATGCTGGGCAGATTCTACAGGAATACAATTACTTTTTTAACTATTGTAGACATCAAAAAAATTATATTTAAAGTTCTCCATATTACACGGGTATCAACAAAACCATGGCAGCAAATCTTATTATGACAATAGTATCGAATATAATTAACAGTAGGCACAGAGTAGATATACTTTCATCTCTAACACACTCACTCACTTTTCTTATGTGCACGCATATCAGAAGTAGCATTACTAACAAAATTTATATATTTTTCACTGTTCTTTTTGTAGAAAAGAAAATACTTTTATTCATATTTGTACTTGTTTCCTGTTCTTCATTTTGTAAATGCAATAAACAAGTCATTACTTTGATCATTGTCCACGATATTGTACCAAACTATATAGCAAAATTTTTCTATTCTTATCAGAACTTGATACAAATCGAACAGACTTCTTGAAGTCTATTAAAATTAAATTAAAAGAGTTTGTTACATAGAGCTAATAGTCAAGCTAATAAACATATGATAAAAATGAACTAAACATCACTACTAATTTCAAGACCAATCAAACCTCTCTTGTGCCCATAAAAACGTTAATGCTGTTAACGGATTGCTAACTAACATCACTTATTAACACAATGTATAAAAAAAAACTTAATTAAACATAAATATGTTGCAAGAATAAGATGTACCAGGTTAAAACCTGCAATTTCATTTAACAGCTACTGCTTTGATATATTTATTATCATAGAGGTACAAGCTGTGAATCACTTGACTTATCACAAATGTAGACTCTTCAGACCTTCATAAAGATAAAACTGTATTGAAGGGTAAATCTTATTCTATTTATATTTTAAATAAAAATTTTGTTCACTGAGAATTATCAGCTTATGCATATTAATACAAATATCTTACCTGAGGAATTATTGGTGGGGACCAAATCCCTGTCAGGGGACGAGTCTTCCTCTTCGGACATGTTACCATTCACTGTGTCCAACATATACTATCAAAACACATTCATTTCATACACAACACAATATTCTATGAGATTAAATTTTCTAATGCACTTTCATTGGGCCCCATCCATGATTCCTATCATTTTTTCTTCATTAAGATCTGCACCTACAACAAAATATATTTTTTTAATTATGTTTAAATAACAAAATAGACAAAATACTATGTTTTTAGTTTTATTATTTATTATTACATAGAAATATACGTTTTATAACTAAGTACTTATTCTTAATATTTAAAAATTAAATAAAATTACATTCAAATGGTATTATATGAGTCGACTATTATCAAAGCCGGCAATGTGACTTTTGGACAATTATTGGTAAATCAGAAAAACGAATTATTGACTTTGTATTCCATTGGCAGTCACAAAATTCTTCTGAACGACATCTTAGATAAATAACAGGTTAAGTATTAACCTTTATTTAATGCAGGTTTTGAACAGTATTCTTTGAAGGAGACAATTATATTCAAATCAATCTGTATTGACATATCAATAACATTTTTTTGTCCAAATGCACAGATTGCCACCTTTGATAACAGACGACTCATATGATACCTACAAATAATTAACTCAGTTATGAGCAAACATGTCCAAGCTATCATACTTTAACTAAGCAATGATGAAATGTGTGCAGGGAAGATCATCCACAATATCAACATCCAGAGACTCGAGATAACCTCATTTAAATATTAACTCGACCACAATAAAACACAAAATTTAAAAAAGGCAGTCAGTAGTAAAATAAAATAATACAAATACCTTCTATATTTAGCAACAAATTAAGTTTACTATACTTTCTGTCTGATATTTAAAACTGATCAAAACTAATATGGTAGTAAGGACAAAATGAAAATAACACTTTAGTCATTTAGTCATTTGTAACTATGAAAACCAAAATAATATAATGAAACTTAATGAATAATAAAAAAAATCATTATTCTCAATTGCTACAGTTGCATAAAACATGTACTTGGGCAGTATTAACATTGCCATCATTTAGTAGGAATGTCATCATAAAATAAATAAGATTATTTGTTATATTACTATCAGTCATGTGGCATATGAATGGTTTTAGCAGTTTGAATCTTTCATAAATATTCAGAGGAGAATGACCATAGAATTAGTAAAAAATTATTACATTAAGGACATTTTAATAACTTAGTGTTCATTTTATTTTGAATATAAATTATTTAGAGAATGATGTGCGTGAATTTTCTTTTTAACTTGAACTAATCTTGTCTAAATACACTACTTCAAAAGCTTTTTCAGCTTACTTATGCACCACGGGAATACACCTTGCAACTTATTCTTATGAACTTTACTAAGAATTTCGTCTAATTTAAAAAAATATTAATGTATGAAGACCAATGAATTACCATTTCATTATATCTATCATATGAATGAAAATATTGTTAAGGTTAATGACCTTTTTAAAATGCTTTGTTAATTAATATTTGAGTAATTATTAACACCAATTACACAAATTGTGTACATTAATGAAATCGGGGCGTAGTTACTGCATAAACGTAATTAATCTATGCAGTCCTATGACAAAACTTAGGTGTGATGTCAAATGTTGTCGATTTTCGCCATTGTTTAACGAATTCAAAAGCGACAATAGCTTTCTATCCGCTCTTTGCAAGGTTGCGGGTGTCACTCGACACTATTTCACCATTGAAGTCACTATATTGGATATTTAATCGACATTTTATATTTATTAAGACTATAGGGTAACCCTTTGACGTACTGATATAATATCCGCATCGTAGCTATAAATAATCTTTTAAATATACATGCACGCAGCTAAAACACTGTATTCTTGTTGCTTTTAAGACTAGATTGTATTTTTAAAACACTAGGAACCGAACATAATATCACTGCAATCTTAACCTATATTTTTCAATCGATTGGTATCCACAAACACTTGATTAATGATAAATATCACAGAAATTATACAATGTACTTAATGCACTGTATATTCACCTGAATATCACGTGTCGTTTGTTCGGTTTAAAACACTGGTTAATGTTTCATTTTACTAAATTTATTTTTTGACTCTTTCCAAGCAGACATTTTACAAAGACACTATCAGTGTTACCACACTAAAACGAATGGTANTGGTATCCACAAACACTTGATTAATGATAAATATCACAGAAATTATACAATGTACTTAATGCACTGTATATTCACCTGAATATCACGTGTCGTTTGTTCGGTTTAAAACACTGGTTAATGTTTCATTTTACTAAATTTATTTTTTGACTCTTTCCAAGCAGACATTTTACAAAGACACTATCAGTGTTACCACACTAAAACGAATGGTAAAATATTTGATAGTAGAAGTGAACACAATTTTATCTTGGGTAAAGCTGAATAAAATGAAATAACAAAATGTACCTACTTTCAGTTTTTCGATATATGTGTGAATGCGGTTACTCGAGCCCGTTTGTTCACATTAATCCAGCAAGCTTTATTGCATAGCTTTACTAGACAAATTTTTAACATTTGATTTTGTATTGTGTATAAAATGACAATGTCAAAAAGTGCGGTAACTGCGTTGACTTGTGTTTATTTGAAATCTTGATCCGTGGGGATTGACAGCATGAAATATATTTTTAATGGGTTTGCCATTTAGCTGCTTTTTTATTTTAAAGTTACAATTATTAAATAAAATTACAATTATAAATATAATATTTTAAATGAAATGAAAATAATAAAAATACGAATGAAAATCTCGTCTCCTTTTATAGGTATTAGGGTTTTTGGTTCGTACTTTATTAAACCTAGACCAGTTAAATTAGCCTCTAGTTTATCATACTAACCATTTCACCCATTGCACAGGAACAAGGCTTAGTATGCAACCGATTAATTCAACTGTGTTTTTCACGTTCCAGTCTGTACACTACCCTATAATATTACACTCTGCATGCAAAATGGTGTATCGTGTCAAGGCATCTGATTTAACGTAATTTTTCAGACCAGCTCGCGCCCAACTGATTTTAAGTAGTTACCGGAGCTAACAGACACTATAGTACCTACATCCACTTTGTAAAATAGAATCGATCGAAGTCTCAATTGGTTAGAATAGTCACTATTCTACTATTATACCGAATTTCTTGATTACCTGAATACTTGGCCGAAATAGAGGGTAAAGATCTACAACAAAAGTATCTTATTGATTAATGACTAATGTTTAGTATCTAGTGTGTTGTTTGTAGATATTAAAAAATTCTCAAAGTTTGAAACGAATACAATGAATTTAAAAATACAGGTTTTAGAGCTCTGGCTACTGTTTGCTAAATTCAGAAGTCATCAGACTGGCAACGACCCTCATGGCCGGATGTATTGGTTGGGAACAATCGAAATAAGTCTTAATTAATACAAGCGTCTAAAATAAATAAAATTCGTAATTAAATATGTTTTAAAAAAATTTATTAATTTTTATTTTTGAGTGCAACTATCAAATAAATGTTAACAAAATTAAATTTACGAAAAATTCCAAGGAAAAAAGGATTGTCATTGACAGAGCGTCATTGTACGTAATGGAGTCGATGTTCTGTACATGTAATTGTTATTGAAAATATAAAATTTAAGAACGAAATATCACATAAAACTGTGTATTGCAGTGATTTTCTGGATTGCAGTGAATGTTTGCTAACATTTTATGGATGCTTTTAAGCGATCCAAGTGCTCGAACAACCTCCTTTCGACCGTGGTATGTGTGACATCAAAATATTTTGGAAAGTTAATACAAAATCGTGTCTAATTGCTTAATGATGCCATTACTTATAAAAATAGTTGCTCGTTTTTCTTAAAATTGCTGAATAAGTTCGTTCAATTTAATGCAGAACGTTGTAACGCCCAATAAATCCCAAACGCTTTGTCGAGCGCGTAATTGAGTAGCTACACGGAAAGGTCATGCATTCATTTCCATCTTTTTATTTACAGAATAATGATTGTCACGAAATAAAACCTACAGGGCTAAGCGCGCTTCTTATTCTAAAGATTTGAATTTGAAAAAGTATTCATGGTTTTGAGAGGGCAGCTGTGCAATCCTCATACAAATGAAGCTATGGCTTCTGATCAACCCGTCAAGAAGAAACAGAGAATCGACGCTCCTGATATTGACGAAGGCAGTGACCGATCCGCCGAGGATGTCCTGACCGACATCTTCGAAAGCGAAACACCCGCTGAAACCTCTGAAGAATTCCCAACAAGGAATGGAGAGTCCCCAGACAGTGGTACTGTTAGTGAAGATGCTGTCGACTGTTCTAGCATATTGAGGCTCCAGAGTGATTCTGGTGTGGAAATCTTACCGTCGTGTTCAAATACAAACTCACAGTGGAATTCTGAAAATGACAAATTACTATCTGAACTGAGGTTACTTCAAAATAACTTAATCGGGCAGTGTTTATGTCAATTTGATGAAAATATTGTTACACAACTATTTGATCGACAATTGAATATTTCAACATGGCCTTTGACGTCTTCCCTAACTTATCTCTCGACTATGCAGCTGATGTTCGACATATATCTCAAACAAAATGGTACAGGAACAATATGTTCAAAAGTAATGCAAGCATGTGACTTACTAGTACGTAATAGACATGATTGGATAACCGAGGTTGTTGAATTAGCTGACCACAAAAGTAAATACATCACATTCATAGCCAGTAGAGTATTAGCTACATTTTTGATAGTATCAAAAGACACAGTAGATGAAAACTGGTTACAACAGATAGCTGAAAATATTTATTTATTCGATAGAATCAACAGAATTACAGTACAAAAGATAAATTTTACTCTAGATATAATTAAAAGGATAGTGGAGTGGAAAGATGTTGAACAGCATCCTTTAGAAGACAGTAACTACATTAACACACCAAGTAATACTTATGTTCAAGAAGACAATCCATTTAGAAGTAATATAGGCTATTCTAATAGTACAGAAGGCCCATCAAGTTCACATAACAATTTACACAATGAATTTTCAAATTTACACACAAATAGCACTCCGTCGACATCAAATGAACAGGCGGAGAAGCCCGTAATCTTTAAACTACAAGAACCAGTATTAAAATTAGACTCTAATGAGGAAAGGCAGGAGATGGAGCATTCTCCTGAAACACCATCTGAAAGAATAGAAAGAGTCAATGAGCATGGTTGCGTGACTGTCATGCTGACAGATTCTGAATCTTTTGACACTTCACACATAAAGTGCTTAACGATAAAAACCTTGGAGCACCACTGGCCGATTCTTGTGAAAAACATGAAACTTTTACTACTAAGGTACCTGAATTTAGCTAATGCTGAAAATTGTATATTAACATTTTTTTCTTTATGGGAGAACATCATAAGTGTTAAAGCGAATCTCTCGATAATCGATACAAAACCATTTTATGCAGACCTTCAGAGCTTTGTTGATTTACTAAGGAATACAATGTTGCCGAGTTTAATATACACACATTTGTTAAGTTTATTCAATGAGGTTCTATGTTATGGTTCGACATTAGCTTTACAAGATATTTTACCTGAAGAAATATGCAGCTTAGCTCACTCAATAGTGAGATTTGTTAAAGATTTTAGGTTATTAAATAATGTAAGAGTACAAAATAGTAGGAGTGGTTTTGGCTTTTTAGGGCACGACTGTAGGGTTGTAACGGACTATTCCTTAGGGCCTGAAGTATTACCCTTATCATCCTCGATACAGTTAGTAGACCAGAGTTATGGAGATGATGAAATTGATCAACAATCACAGTCAGAGGTAGACAAGACTATGTTGCAAAGAATGTCTTTGCTTGTGCTAAAATCTATAGCTGTCACAGTCAAAGAGATGAGATGCGATTCGTCAGACAGTTCAATAGACTCATCAGACTACAATGCTATACAAGACATGCAGATTGTAGAAAGGTCAATACGGGATGTATTGAAGAAATTAGATGTTTTTATACGGAATAGTTTAGATTTCCATCCAGAAACACCATTCACAAAAATGTTAATACATTTGTTTAGTGAGCAAGACGATTATCTAATAGAATCAATGGTTTGTACTTTGGATATTACAGTTGGCATCGTCTATAGGAATTCCGTGTATCCAGACTTAATACCGATGTTGAATCCGATTTCATCGTTCATAGAATTTCTTAAGGTTGTTTCACACGACAGTGATGTTCTGTTGGATTATTTGGTAAGTAATGAGACATGTTTTCTGCTATACTTACTACGGTTTCTTAAATATGTAAGAAGGAACTGGCCTAAGTTTCTTGATACATGCCAGCAGACTGATGCGGGAGGCACGAGAGGCCTAGACGACACAATGAGAGTCTTAATACGATTACGTTTACAAATAAGTCGATTAGTGTCAAAATCACTCTTCCCATACAACATAAGTCCTGTTCTGAGATTGTTGGAGGTTTGTGAAAGCTTGTATGAAGGTAACGAATTTAGCTGAATATTGATGTTCATCATTAAAATTAACCCACACAATATACTGTGTGGGCTAGGAAGGTGTCCCCTTTAAAATTACAAAGACTGCTATCTTTATTTTTACATTCCAAAATTCCTTACTCTAAATGGTACTTTGTGCTAATTCATTTAATTTATATTAGACTTTAGGAATGTATTATTTGTAATGATAGATGTAGATTATAAAATTATGGATGTATAATAATCGTCTTCCGTTTTTTAAATGGCTTTTAAATTGTGTACAGTGTGTTCATAAATGAAAATTGATGTTTTTCTAATGATTATTTTTATACAATATATTTTCTATGAGAAACTCAATGTGCCTTATTTTAATAAATGAAAGGTGCTGTACGGGATAGGAACAATTATATAAACATTGCACAAATATATATATAACATACAATTTTTTTTGTAAACATAATTTAGCATAATATTATTAGGATATAATTTTGTATTGATTTATTTGTTAGTGTTAATTTATTTTAATTTCGGTTGTATTATATAAAGTTAAGTTTTTTGCGTAAACGGGTCTGTGAAAGTTTTCTATTTTTAAACTAAATAATGATCAGTGCCGCGCTTTTGTGTGTAAATATTTGCCATCAATTACCATTTTATATTATGTAACTGTAATAATAATAATCAGTATTAATACAATATCCTATTTATGTTGAGAAATAATTTTGTATTTTTTTTTTCGTGAAGTTCAATGCTATTTGCTTTGTAAACTTAGAATGTCTGATTGATAAAACCGATGTAACGAAAGCTGATTAGATTTAGATTAAAATTTATTGTTTAACGGCACCACCTAAGTGTTGGCAAGGCACACAAAGAGCCTGCACTGGTAGGTACCATAAGGTTACCTAACTATGCCTCAACTTCCCCTCCAGGTCTGGTTTCCGGTGACCACTTGGCACAAGGTGGTGAGAGCTAGTTTGATTGTCTAATGCAGAGGCTCCCACACTTAATTTGTCTACTACCCACTTTGAGAATAAATTATCTTATAGCGCCCCCACTTATTCACCTACTTAAAAACCACTGCAGCGAGAGCTCAGTCAGTGTCTAAGAGTCCTCCTAGATGAAATTACAAATCGCCTTCCAAGCCTCTACACAAAACCACTATTTTTTTTCTGAGTCTCCTACCGCCCCCCCCCCCCCCCCCTTTAGGCCTTCCAAGCCTCTACACAAAACCCCTATTTTTTTTCTGGGTCTCCTACCGCCCCCCCTTTAGGCCTGCAGCGCCTACAAGGGGGGGCGTTATCGCTCACTTTAAGAAAAGCTGATCTAATGCAATACAAATATTTGACATTAAGCTGTATTATAATTTGTTTTATAGCGTAAAGTCCACATTCTGTACCACTAGAAGTTCTTTAGCCTTAATCATAATATTAATTATCATGTTATCGTTTTTTTTAAGTTTACAAAGCAACAAAGAACTTTTTCAACGCGTACGTTATTCTTGTATTTGTAGCTTTAAGTTATCTAAAACAATTTTTAGTGTCATTTTGTGTTTGAACAAAAAAAAATACATTGGGGATTAAAATTATACAAATTTTCACTTCCAAATTTATGTAAGGGATTTGATGTCATGCAATTGCTTTCAACTCGTAAACGGTTGTCGAGGTTGGGTTTTTAAGTCTCTGTAGGTCTTTTAAAGTCAATTGGATCGATTCGAAGATTGGTACGACCGATAGTTCTACTCCCGATGCTCCAGTTTGTAGGCTTTTTTTTTTTTTTTTTTATTGCCTTTGTAGGCAGACGAGCATACAGCCCACCTGATGGTAAGTGGTCACCGTCGCTCATGGACGTCAGCAATGCCAGGGGCAGAGCCAAGCCGCTGCCTAAAAACTGCGACTGAGACTATGGATTATAATTGAAATACCGATTTAGTCGCGAAGTAATTCATACCATTAATGTCACGCAAAACAGCGGTTTAAAGCGGTTAGTTGCCCTCAATTAAGAAAAGTAGTATTATTATTCGCCAATAGATGTCGGGGGGAGTTGATTATTGAAAACACGAATAAAACGACATTTTCTGAAAATAAATCGTAGCTAGATCGATTTATCGACCCCGAAAACCCCTGAATACAAAATTTTATAAAAATCGTTGGAGCCGTTTCCGAGATTCAGATTATATATATATACAAGAATTGCTCGTTTAAAGGTATAAGATAAGATCATATAAGAGACGGGGCCGTCTCGAATGTAATACAAAAAAAAAACGATGCTTCCGGACGAAAAATAGAAGGAATAATGTTGAACGGTGAACAAAGCAAAATGACACTAAACCATTAAATCTTAAGGTTGAATACAATCACGACAGACTGTTAATTAAGACGTAATAATTGTTGAGAAGAAAATAATAATAATAATTTAAAAAAAGAAAACATGTTATCTCCATCCGTATTTTAATATTAAATGTTAGTGTGTATTATAAGCGATAATCACGTCCCTAAGGTCGGATGTTTAAATTATTGAGATATTTGTTTTGACATGGTAAACAAAATATTTTTTAAATTTCTTATTTCATGAGACAAGGCCGGAAGTGAAATGTTCAAATATAAATTAATTTAGCAAATAACAAAATAGATATTTAGTTACAGTTTTAAGCAACTATCAACTTTGTTTTCATAGCACGAAGGTTATTCTGGTTCTCTATTTGATTTAAACATTCAACTTTAAGCATTCGATTTTATTTTTCTTTGTATTGTATCTTTTTTTTTTTAACATGCTTATGAATCTCAATATTAATGTTTGAATTTTTTTTAACTATAATTGTATATGCAATTTCGAAAAGGGCATATCTCACAAATATAAAATATCTAATTAAATGTATATACTGACGTTTACGATAATAATTCCAGTAATTTTCAAATTGCTAATTAAGACTAAAATGTATCTCAAAAGTTAATATTTTAAATTTTACACTGCTATAGAAAACAATCAGTTTTTTTTCATTTCCTGAACATTTTACGTTTTCAGAGATGTGACCTTTTCGAAATTGTCGTATTCAATTGTAGCCGGCCAATGAAATCCAACCTTAAATCTATTCAGAAATAGACTGATTTGACGTACATTTTGCACAATTACGTCACCTATCGAAAGTGATTCATTCATCTAAGGAATTTAAAATTCGCGCCACGGAAAAGAAATGGCACCACCTTCATTCAATTAAAAAAGAACCTTAAAACGCTCATACCTCACTAGCCGGTTTTAATTATATCTTCAATTCATTTTCTTCTTCTCAGTCGTTAGGTACCTCATTACATTTAGTACCCTTATTCAGGATCGTAAACTTCTGTAGTCTCCTCAGCATTACTCTTTACCTATTCCTATCCGTCGCTTGGTGAAGAGCTTCGTTGACCGGTATTTCTTCAACACCCGTAGTATATTTCTCATCGAATATTGGTTTTACTAAAAACGACATCTGTTTACCATTTAAACACATTAAATTTCGATTTCCCCACTATATTAATGATAGCTAAATTATATTAAACAATATTACTGGTGGTAGGACCTCTTGTGAGTTCGCGCGGGTAGGTACCATCTCCCTGCCTATTTCTGCCGTGAAGCAGTAATGCGTTTCGGTTTGAAGGGTGGGGAAGCCCTTGTAACTATACTGAGACCTTAGAACTTATATAACAAGGTGGGTGGCGCATTTACGTTGTAGATGTCTATGGGCTCCAGTAACCACTTCAGACCAGGTGGGCTGTGAGCTCGTCCACCCATCTATACAATAAAAAAAAAGTAGTTACGTTCTAGTTAAAACTAATAATTGTTTTATTCAATTCTAGAATATTTTTTTTATAAAAACGAAAGACGGTAGTTAGCAGAATATTGAAATGACGGCATAGAAATTTTGCGATTATTTATGTGAACAGATGGTTAACCGATGTCGTTTTCATTAAGGCCAATGAGTTCAGATAAAAATAAAACTATAATCGGGTTTCCCGCGACTTATATACTCCTTGCTAGGTATCGATATAATAATATTTAAATAGTTTTATTTATAATCCACAGTGGACTAGGCTTAAATATTATTGTTTTCATAACGCATCATTAGAGATATGTCTCAAGGAAATTTGACATCCGTCCGTGTGGCTCTGACACGAAATGCGGTAGCGTCGTCAAAACAGTTGATCTTGCCAATAGAATTTAGAAACTAAGCCTTTTAATACACCGATTTTTCGAAACACAATAAGACCCTTAATTAATCGAAGATTATTTGAAAATAATGAAAACAGAAACATTTTTTAAAATTTCCTTGATAACAAACATTTTTAGGTAAAATCTTTTTTAAATTGTTATTTAATGTTAATTTTCTATTCATATTCGATTGATTTTGGTGAGACTTTTCAATTATGAATTTACAAGTGATAAAACTGGTTTGAAATCAAAATCAATTGTGTTGGGTACTTGTAAATTCATAGTGACATTGAATAGGCTACAGATGACAGAAATTACGAAATTATTTAAGTAAGTTCTTGTCGTAAGTGAAAACTTGTTTTCGTTAAGTAAAATTAATTTAACGATAATAAATAAAATGAAATATTTTTGTACGTGACGCATGGGTCTTGGTGTTTTATTGTTAACTTGTATAGATCTCTTTGGAGGTTAAGATGTATACGTTAATCCAATGTATCCAATCGGAGGAAGTGTGAAAGTGGCCCCGGTAAGCAACAAATTAAGGAGCGGACGGTTAGCGTGGTATGGACATGTGATGCGTAGAGAGAAGATGCATGTGACTAGGAGATGTATGGAAATGGTAGTGCAAGGTAGAGGGGGAAGAGGTCGACCGGAGAAGACATGGATGGAGTGTGTGAATGACGATATGAGAGAGAGAGGAGTGAATGTTGAGATGACGGCTGATAGAGAATGGAAGAGAAAAATTAGCTGTACCGACCCCACCTAGTGGGATAAGGAGAAAAAAAAAAAGAATGTATCCAATCAGTATTTTACCTCACTTCTCAAAACGGACGACCGCGTTCACGTTTTGTCTATGGGTTTTGGTAATAGACAGAAACGGCTACCGAAAAATGTATTAGAAGATGCGCTTAAACCTTATATATCGCTATGACATGTCCTTCTTCAAACGAGGCTTGCAGAGAGTATTAAGCGGTAGGCAGCGGCTTGGTTCTGCTCCTGGCATTACTGAAGTCCATGGGCGACGGTAATCACTCACCATCAGGTGGGCCGGATGCTCGTCTGCCTACAAGGGCAATAAAAATAATAACAATTAAAAATATATATTTGCTTTTTTGAATGTCGGGTAATGTTAACGAAAAAGGATTTTTTTTTTATTGCTTAGTTGTATGGACGAGCTCACAGCCCACCTGGTGTTAAATGGTTACTGGAGCCCATAGACATCTACAACGTAAATGCGCCACCCACCTCGAGATATAAGTTCTAAGGTCTCAATATAGTTACAACGGCTACCCCACCCTTCGAACCGAAACGCATTACTGCTTCACGGCGGAAATAGGCGGGGTGGTGGTACCTACCCGTGCGGACTCCCAAGAGGTCCTACCACCAGTGAACTCCTTCAAGAGAAATGAGAATCATGATACTAATTTCGTATTAAAACCTTTCCACTGAAAATGTGAAAATTCTACCGTCATCACATCGGAAGAAATTTCACCTGAGAAATAGAAAATGTCCCGTTTGGGCTGTAGGAATTTTTAACCTTAGCAAAAGAAAACACGAAACATATTAACGACTTATTATGTATTTTTACAACGTTCTCTACTGTTTTGAACATTCAAAATGAAAAAAAAAAAACAGTTCCTCATATTTCTACTACTCAGATGTTTGTGAGTGTTCAATAAAGACGACCATTACCTGTGAGGGTATCCCCATGACCCGATGAATGACACACGAGGACGTTGACCTCGCTTGTCTGCTGATATTTGATTGGTGTTATCAAAGCTCTCGATGTTGGGGTCTCGATTCATTAATGTCATCATATATAGAATCTTCATCAATGGAAAAACAATTTAGCATAGGTCGAACCGGTGTATGTTCCAAGCTTCGTATCTAATATGCAGAGCACGATACCATTGCCAAATCCGGCGGTCAGTACGCGCCTTTTGATTTCAAAGAACACACAGATGTAACTGTACTTAAGACCTTAGAATTTATATCTCAAGGTGAGTGGCGCATTTACGTTATAGATGTCTATGGTCTCCAGTAACCACTTAACACCAGGTGGGCTGTGAGCTCGTCCACCAAAATCAGCAATAAAAAAAAATGAAGCTGTAAAGATTTTTACGGAAATAATTTCGAAAACGAAACTATAGTAGAATTATTTTGTCCGTGCAGTTTGTGTCATAAAAAATCGGAGCGGTGCAGCGAGTATTTCGCTCTCTCTTCCACTCACGAGCCTTATGGACGAACATAGTGTTGCGCATTATTGTTGTCGATAAGCGTTATCGATAGTGTATTTAGTTGTCATTTTTGTGGGTTAGTGATAAAAATGAAAGAAAAAATCACTAGTCGAACACTTAAACCACATATCGCCGCAGAAAGTTAACGAGAACGGCACAAATTAACACTGTAACTTTTCGGGATGTATTCTCATTTCAGTGAAAAATTTAAACACATTGTTGATTAAATTTTAACACACGTGCTTGTACTGGTATATTTTTGCCAACAAGCAAAATATTTAACTAAAATCCGGCATTTTGGTACAAAAAAAAAAAGGAGTAGCCATTGTGTCACTAAAGAAATTCAGAGAGCGAATGCACAAAATCACATTTCTCTTCGACATATTATTATGTACTATAATTTGCAGGTAGATACAGCAAATTACTTACATGACAAATGAAACTTATCAATGTCTCACCACCCTTCGTATACCACCACGCCGTCGCGTACCTGCCTTCGATGGCTCATTTGTTTTTATCGATAATGGCGTTGCGCCCACGCAACATGTTCACCGCCCTAGCCAGGCTATGTTTTATGACCCAAACTGCACGGACAAAATAATTCTACTATAATAAGGTATCTCCGGATGGTGTCCCGATAACTTTATTATTCAGAAAATAGCTCTTGACTTTCACATGCATTGCTGGGTCTCAAACACTCTACTGCAAATCGTAAGGGGCGTAACAATAGTAACGAGGGTATTTGCAAAAAAAACAACAGTTTTTTCCTTATTGTCACTCCATTTTAAACGTCAATTTTGTGTCCCACATTCACATTATTTGTTTAGACAAATGGGACTTATGAGTAGACAATAAAACTTATATATATTAAATGGGTCAGCGTAAATGTGGGTATGCATTTTTTTTACAATGTCGTGTCCTGTGTTCTTAGTGCGAGTTTTTTAAAGTTCTCGATAGCGTAAAAGTTAAGCCAATTTTGTATGCATTTGGAACAGCGCCCCTAGCGGCAAACGTACGCAAACGATCCCATTCCATACAAATTTGAGTTAACTTTTACGCTATCGAGAACGTTAAAAAACTCGCACTAAGCCCACTGATCTATGTCAGACGGGCACTGCACAGGTTGAAAATCTGACCAACAACAATAATTTACATTCGAGATATAAACGATAATAGAACAACAATTACACGTTAAAACTGATATGAACTAGGGCTTAAATTAATAAAAAAAAAAACCTTACATTAATTCAAAACACATGGTCTTACGAAAACATTGAACTTTTAAAGATCAAACATTAAAAAAAAAACACGTTGTATGACTATCAAATATTTTGTAACAATTATTTCTCATAATAATATGGATTCGAAAATCCAACAGATTAAAAACAGGAGTTCTATTTTTGTTTCCATTACGCTCTAGCTGCAAGCCTCGCTGTGGCGATGTTTATGGCCAAGCCGAGACAAGTCAACCTGTGTGCTTAGAGCGATTTCTTTAACGTTCTCGATAGCGTAAAAGTTAACTCAAATTCGTATGGAGCTGGAACGTTTGCCGCTAGGGGCGCTGTTCCACCGGCATACAAATTTCGAGTTAACTTTTACGCTATCGAGAGGGTTAAAAACTCACACTAAGCACACCGGTGACTAAAGTCACTTCTAGTTATCGTTAGTGTCACAGATAAGCCAATAATCTTATGACATATGAACTCTAAGGCTCATAATAATAATCATGCTTTAAACTAAAAATTAACAAGACTTAGTTCAAATTTGATCTACAGATTAAACTTCTTTCGTAATATCAAAACGAAAACAAACTCAGTTTAGCTAATCTGAGATGACGTTTTGACGTGTGGCAACATTTTGCGTTTCATTCAATGTTTCCAATCTTTTATCAGGTCTCAAACTAAAAATATTTTACTGTATTTGACAGCCGAATTGTGATTTTTTTTTTTTATTAAAATTTTTAACTGTATGTTGAAGAAAAATAACGCGCTCTCATTTTATCTAACTCAGAAACGAATTGTTAGCAAGTATGGTGAGGCAATACATTGCAGCAAAGGCAAGCAAAAAAACTGATGTTGTAAATAATCAGATAAAGGAGTAAACTTGGTCCAAACTAGCCAAAGAATTCAACAGTTTGTTTGTTTTGACTTACTTGAGCCTTGCACAATGCATCTTTGGACATTAATTTATAAATATCTCTATTGACTGAGTTTGACACAAAACAAAAGCTGTTGATTTCGGGCGGCCATTTTGAAAAAAAAAAAGTTTAAATATCTCATGGGTTGGTCGCTTCCTCGTGTCCATTTAAATTTCAAAGAAGAGTTTAACTATGGTTGAAATTGCAAGTTGATCTTTGATAACCGTTTAAAGCCTTGTTCGGACTAGGCGAGTATTTTAGTCGAGTACCGAGTAATTTAGTAACTAAATGTGTCTGAGCACCAAAAATTTAGTCGAGTAGGTTAGTAAATAATTTAGTCAAGTCAAACCATTTTGTTCTATTTTTGCGGGCGAGTAGCGAGTAGTTTAGCCACTAAATTACTCGGTACTCGACTAAAATACTCGCCCAGTCCGAACAAGACCTTAGCCTTCGATTTTAGTTTAAGCTACGGTTGATATTACGGGCCTCTGAGTAATTAATAATTCATTTTAAACTATGAAACGTGGCTTTTTAATTAACACACTGTGACGACCACGGTTTTTATTTGTTATTTTTTTGCTGATATTTCAAAATCTGTTTTTGTAGTCATTAGAAGAAATCGATATTAAAATTGAAATTGACTAGAGTATTTCAAAATTTCATTTGTTATTTATATTCACAGAATAAGCACGCCATGACACGTGTCATTGCTGCTATTTGCATTATCATAATATTTATTTATAAATACAACAAAATTAAATAGAACAAATATTTTTAATCTGTATTATACATTCACACGATCATGTCCCATTACACATAAAAAATGTACATTTACATAAAATTAACATGTAATTTTTCATCGCGAACATTTTAAACAGTTTCGCGTCTTTAACCAAAACGTGTTTGTAATAACAGTTATTTTAAATCTGGCACAACACATACTAAATGTTGGTGATTTGACTACATATTCCACGTACAGCAATCAACTATCAAATTCTGGTAAATGCATCTAGAGTTCTCTATCTACTATCAACAACATTATATACCTCACTAGTTGGCTACATTTTTTTTTTTTCAAAAAGTCTACATTTTATATTCTCGTAATACATTATAATAAATGTCAACTGTCATTTTTGCTATAGATAAAATTTGGAACGTTTTAAAGTCGATTAAATTTTTTTAACAACACTACGGAATTCTAGATAAAAACTTCATTTGCTACAATTCGTTAAAACCTCAAGTTTAAATATTATTAATGAATATTGAAGCGTTTAATGCTCTTATTGACAAGGAGTTTTCGGAGCTTTATAAGCCCATCTGATGAATCGAAGTCATTAATTAAGTCAGAATGAATGACACTATAGTCGTATTTTTAATTAGACGAAGCCAACTGACAGCCAATGTCACTTTGTAAAATAATGTTGCCACATTTAAAGTAATAGTGATGTTCTCACAGTCTCACAGTTCTCTTCAGTTCTCGTTCAATCAGATGAATGAACAATGAGTGTGAAGAGTTAATTATTTCAAACTATAAAAGAATATTATTTCTATTTTACAATAAAATTGTATTAAAGTGCTCTGATATAAGTTACTAGTAGTATGTAACTACAATCAGTTTTTTTTTATTTTCACGACCTACCTATTATTGATATATTATATACATATATAGTTCCAACTACATGATGTATTAAAAATAGGACAGACTTACAAGTTTCCTCGCAATGTTTTTAATTAATGTTAATGTTTAAAATACTCGGTATTCAGTATAGGTAGAGACACTATAGGAACATAATCGTCGAAAGCTCGTTGGTATGTACAAAGCACGACTGAAATTTGAACCCCGTACCCGATATCGGCAGTTCGGCACACTAACTATTCACTAGACAATCGAGGCAATTCCATTCATTCAGGAGTTTTTTCAATCATTCACTTTGTCACAACACTATTTTTATTTCATCAAAAACTGACAACACAGGAAACGTCAGTTGACTTCGTCTAATAAAAAATGCGACTATAGACAATATTTTTATAACGGACTTATAAAGCTATTTTATCTATTAAGTTACATTCATACATACAGAAAACACATTTTGGCTTTTACACGACTCTACGTATTTATATTAATATCAAAATCAACTAGATGTGTCTGTCTGTTCCGAAACGATTCTTTTATGGGTTGGGCAGCCTAATTGACAGCTCTTCTGGTGTTAAGTGGTGTTGTCCGTACACAGAAGTGGATGGAGCCATCCACGCGTACCGCATCATTGTATGTTCAGCAGACACGTCATATGTGTGTATTCTGAGGACAATACGACATTGTGGTATTGAGCTGGTCTAGTGAGGAACCCACTGTAGGATACAGATACATTTCATTAGATATATAGACATCGACCCTAAGTTTATTAGAATTGTTTAATGTTATTTTTATGTTAAGTCCCAAAGGTGGTATGTGTCATGAACTATTTAAATTCATATCGAGGTGTGAAAGACTATTGGGTTTAAGCGACATTTCTTTCTTTTTTCCCTCCTACCTGTGCTGATAGTCTTGAGAGGCTATGTCAGCTTGGCCCTAACGTGTAGGTGAGCTCACGGGGCTCAAACCGGAGTGTTGCTAACACTGGCCCTAGCAAAAGCCGTGCTTCGCAGAATCTACCGCCGGATCGAAAACGCGACCCACTGAGAAGATCCGGCGAGAAACTCCGTGGATTAGTAATACGCGACACTTCTCTTTGTAATTACAGGCATTTTATTTGGTATTAGTATCGAAACGCATCAACAGTGCGATATTTTTAATTGAACCTTAATTAAATTTACTCCATTCAAATAGCCAAAGAGCTCTTTTTTGTTAGGTTAATTTTTCTAAATTTTAAACTTGAAATGGCTCTAAATTACAAAAATGTCGCTCATACCAAATATCCTTTCACCCTTCGTTATAATATAAATTGCTTGCAGACATACGAATTGTACAGTTCAAGTTACGTTGGTTCCTTTTTATATATGAATAAATGATAGTCAATGACGTCATCTACAAGTAAGTATGTTTGAATTTAGTTGTTAAATGAGGCAACAGCGCCCCTAGCGGCATCCGTACGTAAACGTTCCAACTCCATAAAGATTTGAGTTAACTTTTACGCTATCGAGAACGTTAAAAAACTCGCACTAAGCACATTGAGGTATGCAGTGGGTATATCATGCTATCTCTGTCGTACTCTGGACATATACCATAGTTAGGTACCTTTTTTTTTTTTTTTAACGCTGGGGAATCCATTTACGGATACCCGGTCGGGGGGGTATAGTTAGGTACCTAAGCTCATAGTTTTTTGAAATAGATATATATATACAATGTAATTAAATACATTTTTATTGCTGCGTTTTTGATAAATACGAATTTTGCCTGAATAAATATACATATAGCAAAGTATACATATATTTACCGCTTAAAAGAAATTTAACTAAGTATGATAACTCACCTTTAGAATTTCAATGGCTCAATCCAAAAAACTCCTTTTTTTTGTATACGCCAAAGATGTAATTGAAGAATAGTATTTTTTCAGTTTCGGTTTTAATACTTTAAGCCTTAAAGCGTACATCTTAAAGTTTAAAGTATGCGCTTGATTTAAAAAAGACAGATTGTCTTTTTGTAGGAAAAAATTTAAATTCAATTTTTTAAACTGATACTATACACTTTGTCGTTTAAAATAAAAACTCATTAAAATATTTAGTTAAGCCACTTCATTTCTAAAGGAGCTAATGGTACAAAACAATATTTCAAAAAAAAAGACAACTTCAGACGATCGCATCCACATTCAGCATACATACATATAAAAATTACAATCACTCTGTCTCGCTCTCTCTCTCTGACTTCCTTCCATCATTACGTTATATTAATGAACAAAAGTTTAATTCTTTACCATAATAACCAGTTTTCCAAACACCTCGCATCGTATTCACACACATGAAAATAATTCGTAAGAAATACGAGATAATTGTATTGGCGCGAGGGTAGTTTAACAAAATTACTTGGAGCGCATTCATTAAAAATCACTTCCGCGGTTTAGTCTTAGCGTCATTTACTGTCGTTAATTAGAACGAGATTGGACTTAAGACTTAAATGAAATCTGCGATTCACGTAAACCTATGGAGGGTAGAAGGAAAGAGAATCATCTCAGTGTATTAAAAAGTGTCCGTGACAGGTGGCGCCACAGTAGCATGTGGAAAGATTTTAAAAGCAGCGCAGTAAATTATTACAGCAGGATAATAAATTAAGACGGAAAGATACACTTCCTACGCAAATTGTAACTATATATATATAAAAATGAATTGCTATTCGTTAGTCTCGCTAAAACTCGAGTAGCCTCTGGACCGATGGCTAATTTTGGTCTTGAATTATTTCTGGAAGTCCAGAGAAGGTTTAAAAGGTAGATAATTATGAAAATGCTTGGAATTAAATAAAAATAACAATTTTTATTTTCCCTTCACGTGTCCCCCGTCAGAAGGATTCGTTTTGTTTGTTTTAAGTTTATTTTATACAAAAGTTTAGGTCTTTTACTTATCGATTGAGGCATTACGAAGTCTGCTGGGTCAGCTAGTAGATAGTATAGATAAATAGCCCAGGTTTTAAGTACTACATTTTTTTTAACAACTCACTTCGCCCTGTCTAAAACTACTGTATTCATAATTCGTGGGGTGAATTGCTATTCGGTTTAAGCGAAATTTCGCTTAATACGCGACATTTATCTTTTTAATTAAAAGAGCGTTTTATTTGGTACTAGCTGACCCGGCAGGCTTCGTAGTGCCTCAATCGATAAATAAAAGACCTAAGATTTTGTCCTCAAGTACTTCGGACACGTGGCCCGACAAAATCCCGAGAACTTGGAAAAATTCATAGTTGTAGGTCACGTGGAAGGAAAGAGAAGTCGAGGAAGATTGCCAACCAGGTGGACGGACATTATCAAGGAGGCCACAAACACCAGCGTCCCGGGCGCCATTAAGCAGGCCGAATGCAGGCAGCATTGGAGGAAGCTGGTGCAAAAACTGGACCAAGGTGGTCACGACCCTCAGCAATGAGGAAACGACAGAGAAGAAGAAGAAGAAGATTTTGTATAAAATAAACTTAAAACAAATAAAAGGAATCCGTCCGAAAAATTGTTTTTTTTATTTAATTTCAAGCATTTTCATATTTATCTATCTTTTAAACCTTCTCTGGACTTCCACAAATAATTCAAAACCAAAATTAGCCAGATCGGTCCAGCCGTTCTCGAGTTTTAGCGAGACTAACGAACAGTAATTCATTTTTATATATAAAGATTAGCAACAACAGTCCGATGTTTTTAATTCAACTTCAATTAACTTTACTCCATTCAAATAACTGAAAAAGTTTGTTATGTTATGAACTTTTTTCTTAATTTTAAACTTTAAATAACTCTCCTGTAAAGTTGCAAACATTTCATTTAAGCCAAATAAACTTTCGCCACTCGATATAATTTCCACTTCCTACACTAGCGCCATTTCGGTGTGAAACTTTTTCAACTTATTCCATTCTAAGGAATGAGGAACTAGGATGTGGGCGTGGCCTGCTGACGTAATACAGCAGCGACTTCGGACTGGTCGGAGTTGAAGAGGGGAGTTGAGGGGACCACTAACATATTGCCTCATTCACGGCTTCTTTTTGATCACAAGGGAAAGATGGACGTGGTACATTCGCGTGTCAACTTAGTTACTCTTTTTTTTTTTTCCTACCTAAGCTGATAGCCTTGAGAGGCTATATCAGCGTCGCCTTAACTAGTAGGTGAGCCCACGGGGCCCAAACCTGACGACGTTGCTAACACGAACCCTAGCAAGAGCCGTGCTTCGCAGAATCTACCACCGGATCGGAAACGCGACCCACTGAGAAGATCCGGCGAAAAACTCAGTGGGCTTTAGTTACCCACATTTTGTCATTGGTATTTAAAATCAATAATTGTTGAAAATTTTATTTTGTAATAAAAAAAATTATTACTTAGATGAGGTGGACGAGCTCACAGCCCACCTGGTGTTGAGTGGTTACCGGAGCCCATAGACATCTATGACGTAATTGCGCCATCCACCAATCTACTGTACTAATTATATTTTTTTAAATATTATGAGTCGTGATTTCTAATTCCATATTATTATACAAGATGATCCTCTTGCATCTACCCTTCATACGAAAACCGAACCGAACCATACTTCAACAGCACATATTATTAAGTTTTTGTCAAAATTAACACATTCTTTTCGCGTGGTACCGACAACAAAAACACGTAAAAAAAAAAAACTTAAACTTACAAAGTTATAATTCAGGTATCGTAGTCTTCGTCGATCTGTAGATTCCCGGAATTCAAGTGATCTAAATCGACTGGATGCGCCTGCGTGGGGACCGATCGCGTTTCGAATCTCTTGACGTCTCTAGGTTTAGAATTCTGCCTGTGCAAGTATTTCCTTTCGTTCTTCGGCACCGCGATTATGTTCGCCGCGGCCGTATCTAGAACTTTAATTTCTGGATTCGCTATGTTTTTGGTAAAATCTATGTTTAGTATCGGGGTGACGGGCGTTCGCGGCGTCACCGGTGTCTTAGGCATAGACGGTAACACAGTAAACTTTTTTGGCACGACAACTTCGACCTTATGCGGGAGTTCTATTGGTTTTAATTTCGTGTAGCTCGTCGACGGCTGCGGACTGGAGTACGTCGGGTTCACGGTGATGACGCTCCGATGCTCCGTCTCGTCGGAGAGCGTCTCCTGGTAGAAGTTCGCCGTCCGCACTGGACGTTTCTCTTCCACCGACTTCTTGGATAGATCTATCGCTACGTCGTTGGACGTTATCGTTGGGAGCGCTGGCTTCGGCGGGATCTCGGTTTCCGAGGAGACGGCTCGCTTCAACGGATCTCGGATGAGATTTGTCGGGGTTATTGGAACTTTGACGTCGCAACTGCTCGAGCTGTTGGAGTCCTCCCTGCCTATCCTCCGCGGCGGTACAGAGACGTCTGAAAATCTATGAAAATAAAACCGCAATGAATTATAAAATGTCATATTCTTATATCTATACTAATATATAAATCTACAGTGGCTTTTACGGATGTTCCGTTATAACTACTGAACCTTGCATCCGATTGACTTGAAACTTGGTATCCATGTAGAAAATACATGTACTTAATGGATAGGCTAATATTTATTAGAGTGTTGGACTCCCTACACCAGTTGCGGGGGCGTTAATGATGAGAATCTTTGTGGGGGTGAGTAATAATAATGTTAATTTTAAATGCCCAGGGAAGCGGACGGGTACAGCTAGTAATATTATAAACATAGCACGCATTGTAACACGACTACAGATCAATTGAAGCACGGGGTCAACAACCTTTTGTGACGTGGAACTACCCTCACTTTCCATTGTGGGCTCTCTGTATTTACACCATAACTGTTCCATTACACCGATTTCTCTTTGTAATGGATCATATGAGAAGAGCAATTAATGAAGATTTATGTATTTCAGCACGAGTGTGCATGTTTATATATATAAAAAAAGGAAAGCTCCAAAACGAACAGACATAGACCTACGCTAGTTTATTTTTGTCACCTTACAAAATAACTAACCTTGAAGAATTCGGCGAGCTTTCAGCACTCATCATCTCTTTCTCTTCCGCCGCTGATACATCTGGTATATTTTTAACCTATAAACATTAACAACAAACCATTTAATTGGTACTCCTGTGACATACTTTATTGACGTTTCAGCGGAAGGAAATAGCGGGGTTTATTTAATCGATAAAGAGACTAAGGGTCCTTAATCACTAAGCATAGACTCAACGACTGTAAAGGTCTTCACCTGCCCTTGAAGGGCTAATTTCACCCATAAAATGATGGTAAGCAGCGGCTTGGCGAAGTCCATGGGCGACGGTAACCACTCACCATCAGGTGGGCCGTATGCTCGTCTGTCTCCAAGGGCAATAAAAAAAAGAACTCCCATTTACGGATCCGAACTCATGAAAATCTTGCTTCAAATATCTTCTATAGAACCTCCACCGCCCTGCGTATTTCTGCCGTGAAGCAGTAATGCGTTTCGGTTTGAAGATTAGTGCCATAATTGTACTATACTGTAAAAAGCAGCCGTTTTAATTATACTGAGACCTTAGAACTTATATCTCAAGGTGGGTGGCGCATTTACGTTGTAGATGTCTATGGGCTCCGGTAACCACTTAACACCAGGTGGGCTGTGAGCACGTCCACCCATCTAAGCAATAAAAAAAAAATATAGAAGAAGAAGACCGAAGATTATCAGTTGTGTGGTCGCGCACGGGCAACTGAACTTTTACCGACCTGGCTTCTTCGTTAACCAAAAATCATTCGCATCCCTTTACGTTTGCCGAAAAATTAAAACCACAATGAAACTTACCAGATCCTTCAGGAAGTCAAATCTGGATTCAGCCAGGATGCATTGCTTCACGTGCGACGGACTCAGGGTCTTAGCGTTTCTGTTCAAGGTCACGTGCATCGCTTTAGTCAGCAATGATTGCACGAACAACTCTAAGGTGCGCGGTGTTAGCCGACAAGAATACGGTTAAGGAATATCTTAAAAATTTTTTTTTTAGTTATTATTGTAACTATACTTTTTTTTCCTACCTAAGCTGAGAGCCTTGAGCGGCTATTCCAGCGTAACCTTAACTGGTAGGTGAGCTCACGAGGCTCAAACTTGACGACGTTGCTAAGACGAACCCTAGGAAGAGCCGTGCTTCGCAGAATCTACCAACGGATCGGAACCGCGACCCACTGCGAAGATCCGGCGAGAAACTCAGTGGGCTCTGTCTATGGGTTAATTCGCTAGTCGAGTCCTTCGTCGCAAGCGACGGGTTCGACGAGGACGGTGACCGGATAACTACACTAGAGGAAGAGGTAGACCTAAGAAGAAATGGATGAATTGCGTAAAAGACGACACGTATAAGAGGGAAGTGAGCGAATGGTGGAGTATGGAAGGAGAAAACATGTTGCACCCACCCCAGGTGACTAGTAGAAGGGCAGGAGAATGATTATTGTAATTATACTGAGACCTTAGAACTTATATCTCAAGGTAAGTGGCGGTATTTACGTTGTAGATGTTTATGGGCTCCGGTAATCGCTTAACACCAGGTGGGCGTTGAGTTCGTCAACCCACCTAAGGAATAAAAAAATATTTTCCAGTGCCAGTGTTTCCCAACCTTCTTCGTTCCCATACCCTATAATAACACTTTTCTCTTCGAGTCACATTCCCCTGATAGCTCTATGCGAAATCCTAAAATGCGTCTCATTCTACTTAAGTTAAATCCGTCGGTTTTTATTATTTAACCTATAAGATTCATTTTAGTTGTTCGATACGGTTCAGTTTATTTTTGATTTAGCTTCTCATTCCGCCATTACCAATATTATATCCACGTACCCCCAATTGAATCCGTTGCTTTAGAACACAAAGACTTTAAAATGACAGGTCTCTTGCGAATAAGTGTTTTTTTTTTTATGACATGCACAAGGTTTGAAATCGTGTCGTCTTAAGTACATTATTCCAACTAGTTTTTTATTTTTTTATTGATAATCATAACGTATAACGTTTTAGACGTATTAATGGCTTTTTCCGAGAATAAACTCGCCTATTATATTTTAAATTGTAGATGTATCGAAAGCGAAAACAGAAAAAAAAATTGTTTTAAATATTTATGTCTTATTAAAATTCTAAATGGTAACGCAATATACTGTTTTCTGTTACGGAATCACCTAGACATAAACAAAGCTCTTTCGTTTTCGTGAGAATAATATCTATGTTAAACTTGTTTTTATTCATATGTAAATTTCGCCGGTTCCGACTACAATGATAAGACGCTCGACTTGACAAATAAAAAATTAATAAAAAATAAAAAAAAGTTCTTGAGCATCCAAGATTAATGTTTCCTTAGTCAGGGTCAACGATTAAAAATAAAACATAATATGATAAATTTCATTATCCACGTAAAGCAATCTTACAAAAGAATTTTTGACAACTTCAATAGAGGGGGGGGTATTACGGTTCTGCCCATTTATGCCGCGAAGTCGTCGCGAATTCCCAGTTCGGAGCGCTGGATGGGACGACTGCTCCACATGCTCCATAATTGAGCCTTAGACCTTGGATGTCTCAAGGTTGTTTTGGGGTTCCCTAAATTTATACACGAGGGGTTCTACCTATCTTCTATATACAAACTCAGCACGTTTGTCTTGCTTAGTCGTGCGCACATGTCTTATGTTGCAAGCCAGATTTTGTTCTTTTCTGACTTGTTGTTATTTTTGTGTATCTTTTTAGCTTGTATTGTGTATTGTGTGCCTGTTGTTGTTGTAGTCCTAGGGTACCCCGCTGGTATATAGGGCCCTCACAAGTTGTCTCCACTTTAACCTGTCTTGCGCTTGCTCCTTAACATCATTCCAGGTCACGTTGGCAGTTCTCATCTCACTCTCTACGGTGCGTCGACAAGTGTGTACAGGGCGACCAGGTCTTCACCTGCCAAGCGGTTGCCACTCAAACGCGATTGATGCTGCGTTGACTCCGCTGCGCCGTAGAGTGTGTCCTATCCAACGCCATTTCCGATGAGCAATGTCTTGCGCGATGGGATTTTGGTCACATTTAGTCCAAAGGTCTTTATTAGAGATAGTGACTGGCAAGAATATGCGGAGTATCGACCTCAGGAACTTATTGTGTGCCTAATAAATAAATACTAGAGTTTTGACCCCCCGGGCGGAGATCGGGCGTCGGATTAGAGAGTGCAAGGTAGAGTCGTTTGGTGCGGTAGGACCCTAAAAGTATCCTCGGGGCTGCAGACGTCCCCCCCCCAACATCTGCAGACCGTCAATTGCCACATACCATGCGTTCCCCCTAAGCACTGATACCTCGTAGGGGGGCGGCCCCTGCCCGAAAAATACAAAAACTTCATCGGACCTGGCTCTCTATTTAACATTCTTTGTGCGTCATATTTTTTTTAAAATAGAAATGGTTCCCTAATAGAACGATGACGTCATAGATACATTTCGCGATGGCCCGCCGGCGCCGTGACGACGTCTAGTGCGTCATAATGCAGCCGTCGCGTCACTTGTTTATTTTCAGTTTATCAAAGTGATCGCAGGATCGCGTGTGATGATCAAAACTAAAGAAAGAGATATTTCGTAACAAACCGAAGTGGTTGTTGCTTGTTTTTTTTGTTTATTCAATGCTTTCAGCTTCACCCTAGCGTGTAGGTGACCTTTTTTTTTTTTATTGCTTAGATGGGTAGACGAGCTCACAGCCCTCCTGGTGTTAAGTGGTTACTGGAGCCCATAGACATCCACGTAAATGCGCCACCCACCTTGAGATATAAGTTCTAAGGTCTCAGTATAGTTACAACGGCTACCCCACCCTTCGAACCTAAACGCATTACTGCTTCACGGCGAAAATAGGCGGGGTGGTGGTACCTACCCGTGCGGACTAAAACGTGTCGGAGCTCACGCGGCTCAAACCGGAAGTCTTGCTAACACTGACCCTATCAAGAGCAATGCTTCGCAAAATCTACCACCGGATCGGAAACGCGACCCACTGAGAAGATCCGACGAGAAATTCAGTGGGCTGGGTCTTATGGGGCACGCGCTCTATATGAGATTACACGGTTCACTTGTTATTAAGCGGTTACCGGACCCTGTGGACAACAGAGAGTAGTGAATGTAGCCATTTCGACAAACCACTGGAAATAACAATTTTGTAAAGCGTCTGGTTTTTTTTTCCTACCTAGCTGAGAGCCTTGAGAGGCTATTTCAGCGCAACCTTAACTAGAAGGTGAGCTCACGGGGCTCAAACCTGACGACGTTGCTAACACGAACCCTACCAAGAGCCGTGCTTCGCAGAATCTACCACCGGATCGGAAACGCGAGCTGTGTCTGAGGATTAATTTACTCGACGAAAACGATGACCAGGAGCGTCTGTTCTATCTTCTCGTCGTATGAAAACTACCCGCAAGTGTCACAGTAATTGCCACAATTTATAAATTTAATTAATAATAATAAAGCTTTCCTTTTTCCATACAAAAATAATTAACACAAAATTACAAACAATTTTAACATACATTAATGGATTAAAAAGATAGTTTCTTATATTAATGTATTATTGACTATTATTTACATTATTTCTGTACGGACCCTCTTTTATCCTTGGCGGTATACAGCCAATCTTTACCAGCTACTGTTACAATTTCGTCTACCCACCTGAACTAACCTACCACCTACCCATAAATTTAATTACGAATTAATCAGTAATTAGTTCCTTACCAGTAATTAACGAACTAATAACTTACCAGTAATTAGTTTGTTAACGCCTGATATGTTTATAGACTTTTTTTTAGATCATATACCAGGAATCGTCCCACAACGTCGGTCCACGTGTACACCTATTGATCCAAAGACTTAAATAATAATTATAATTAAATATGTACAAACAAACTTGAATTCGGTAAATCTTAAAAGAAGCAAAAAAAGAGAGAGAGAGAGTGAGGGAGAGAGAGAGAGAGAGAGAAAGAGAGAGAGAGAGAAAGAGAGAAAGAGAGAGAGAGAGAAAGAGAGAGAGAGAGAGAAAGAGAGAGAGAGAAAGGGAGAGAGAGAGAAAGAGAAAGAGAGAAAGAGAGAGAGAGAAAGAGAGAAAGAGAGAGAGAGAAAGAGAGAGAAAGAGAGCATACTTTATTGCACACCAAAACACAATTAAAATTAGAAAACAGTCAACAAGCATATACGTTTGCACAATCGCGTTCTTATCACGATCAAAAGCGATCTCTTCCAGACATCTGTTTCATTTACAGTAATTCTGCTAGTGCAGAGCTTATTGTCTGAGTTTATTTTTATTAATTAACTGGTGGTAGGACCTCTTGTGAGTCCGCACGGGTAGGTACCACCACCCTGCCTATTTCTGCCGTGAAGCAGTAATGCGTTTCGGTTTGAAGGGCCGGGCAGCCGTTGTAACTGAGACCTTAGAACTTATATCTCAAGGTGTGTGGCGCATTTACGTTGTAGATGTTTATGGGCTCCGGTAACCGCTTAACACCAGGTGGGCTGTGAGCTCGTCCACACATCTAAGCAATAAAAAAAAACCAGCTCAACAACAGATGCCCATGTCATCGACAGTGCCCAAAACAGGCTTGCCCACTCGACGACAAAATCTAATTTCAACACATGAGGCGCAGACACATTTAGGTTAGCGAGAACGTGCCCAATCTCGAACTCGCTACCTTGTAATTACTAGACGCGCGATATCGCCATGCCGACAGTTAAATATTACGCGTGGTTTAAACGTAATAAAATAGTCCTAGTATAATATTGGGTATTCCGTACGCAGCCTTTGCCGAAAACGAAAACAATATATTTTAATAAACTTTATTTAAAAATATGTAGTGTAAGAAAAAATGATTTTATTGTAAAAAAGCGTGGGGTGCTTTTCAGGATAATATTATCAAAATAACCCTTCTACTCATATCTGTTCATAAAATATTTAGAGCTAGTGATACCATGCACCCCACGCATTTTTTTTA